CAAAAAAAAAAAAAAAAAAAAAAAATTACATTACTATAAAGAAAAAAAGAGTGGGCCAAGGATGTGAGGAGCCAACTTAGAGAAGAAAACCCAGGTTTTCTTCTAATTGAATTACACTTACAGAAAAACCAGTGTGTAAGCTGATAATTATTTATAGGAGGAAACACTGATGGTAGAAACCAAAATTGGTAGAATGCCCTTAGGAAGGTAAAAAATAACAGATTCCCCTTAAATGAGAGCACAGACAATTCATCGTTTGTAACAAAGGAGATAGCAGAGCATCTGAATAGTGATGCTTGTAGATGTGGTTTTGGAAGTCTGTGGAAGGTCTGCTCAGATTGCTTCTGTTCTCAGTCCAAGAGAAGCAAGAAATAGGTAGCACAGACTGATGGTGGGTAGTGTTGATTAGTGGTCTGAGTAGAATGGAGATATAAAATAGTTGACTCCCTAGGGAGAGTGAATGGACCATGGAAACAGTAAGACTTCTGGGCAGCATTAAAGTTAATTTGAATTTATGCTCACAAATTTAAAGTGAGACTGGTTATCATGGTCACGTATCTTTCTCTAACCACACTCAGCTTCCTGAGTGCAAAAGTAGGCGTTCATATTTCATAAGGATTTGAGCTTTGCCAAGTGAATACAACAAAGGAGCAATGGAGTTGACAGAGTATGCAAAGGAGTGATTATTAATAACATACTACAGGCTGGGTGCAGTAGCTCACGCCTGTAATCCCAGCACTTAGGGAGGCTAAGGAGGGCGAATCACTTGAGGTCAGAAGTTCGAGACAAACCTGGCCAACATGGTGAAACCCCGTTTCTACTAAAAATACAAAAAAATTAGCTGGGCGTGGTGGCATGTGCCCGTAATCCCAGCTACTACTCAGGAGGCTGAGGCAAGAGGATTGCTTGAGGCCAGGAGACAGAGATTGCAGTGAGCTATCGTGCCATTGCACTCCAGCCTGTGCGAGAGTGAGATGCTGTCTCAAATAAATAAAAAGATAAATGATGTACTAAAAACTCAGGATAAGCACAGAAGTGAGGGCATGAAAGGAGAGGTGCTGCGAAAACACTAGGATTAATGGATTGTAGGTCTTCATGAGGTCTAAGGATTGTTGGCATCAAGGGTCTATAAGGAGTATGCTAGAAAAGATAGGAGAAAGTAGTGAGAGAATAGGATGCTTGAAACTGAGACTAAGGGTTTTTGTTATTGGTAATGACAAAGGAGTGAGTGGCTGAGGCTGATCTTGCTACTCAAGGTCATTAGCAGAGAGGTCAAAGGACTGAGAAGTATCATTTGGAGAGTGACGGTGAGGTAGAGACTAAAATCTCTGAGAACAAGAGTGAACCAGGAATGGTAAATGACAATGGGTGGCATAGTCTAATGATCATGAAAAATTTTAAGATGGAAGTTTTTAGGGAGGAGGGAGGTAAGAAAGAGAATGGTCTACAAGCAGCACTACAAAGACAAGAAAAGCCACAAGAAAACAAGCACCAAATGGGGGGGAGCTGCAGGAGACAGCCAGATTCCTGTGAGAGCAGGGGGATCTCAAACTTCAGGGTGTACGAGAATGACCTAGAGGGTTAGTTCAACTATGGATTGCTGGACCCCACACCCAGAGTTTCTGATTTAATAAGTCTTAAGTCTTTAGAATTTGCATTTCTAAAAAGTTCCCAGGTATTGTTGTGTGGTCCAGGGACTACACATTCAGAACAACTCAGAACAAAAACAAGAAAGAAAAAAGCAAAAGGATTGACTATGTAGAGAACATCGTTGATGACTTATCACGGATTCTAGAAAACACAATAAAAAGGTTCTAGGAGTTGGAGCAGGTGTGAGATGGGGCCAGAAAGGGAGTCTTCACAAAATCAGGCTTTAGCTGAAGACAGTTAAGAGAAGCCAAACAATCTTTTACTAAGAATAATGTGTAATATAGGAAGGATTGGTTAAAAACCAATACTTTTATTTGCTAAACTGACTTTAACCCACTAAAAATTTGTTGAGTATCTGCAATGTGCCAGGCCCCTTATAGCCTAAGAAGGGGTTAAGTGCCAAGTCGGTTAAACAGAATAACCAAACATAGCTCACTATAATCTTTTATATTATGTAAATAAAATTATATATATATAATCATAGGACAATCTGTACTATTTAGCATAAACTGATTTCTTAATTAAAATGGGTATAGTTGGATAAGAAAACACTATCACTTTATTTATTTAGACAGGGTCTCACTCTCATCGTCCAGGCTGGAGTGCAGTGGCATGATTTTGGCTCACTGCAGTCTTGACCTCCTTGGGTTCAAGAGATCCACCCCTGCCCCCTCTGTCCTCCTGACCTACCCCCCTCCGCCCACCAACTGCCAGTAGCTGGGACTACAGGTGCATGCCACCACGCCCAGCTAATTTTTGTATTATTTTTGTAGAGACAGAGTCTCAACATGTTGCCCAGGCTGGTCTTGAATTCCTAAGCTCAAGCAATCTGTCTGTCTCAGCCTCCCAAAGTGCTGAGATTACAGGCGTGAGCCACCCTAACTGTCACTTTAATTCTGGCTGTGTCATGAAGGTCACATCACCATTTAGTTACTACTTAATCATGTTTTTAAAATGCCTGATTAAAATTTAAAGATAGTTTGAAAATTTATCATATTAATTGTAAAAATAAGTGAAGTCAAGACAACTTTTTCTCTCTATAATAAACATATACTTCAAATTTTTACTTTAGATAGTAGCAGAACACTGCCTGAATCATGTTACACTTCAAGAGTTCAAAATTTTAAAACACATTAAGCTGATACACATGGTTTACACATAATTGCAACTTGAAAATAACAAGAGAAATATTTTACAGAATATTTAAATAAGTCTTATTGTAGTTAAAATATTTTAAACATTCATTGCTATCACATACGCATAAGAAATGTCTCGTTTATATAGAAACTTACATACATAGTATTCACTATTAAATATTACAAATAAATATTTTAGTTATTTTGACTCAAATTCAACATCTTTGAAACCATCGGCAATATTTCTTTTTTTTTTTTTTTCTTTTTTTGAGACAGGGTCTTACTCTGTTGGTCAAGCTGGATTGAAGTGGCACAAACACAGTTCACTGTAGCCTTGACCTTGTGGGCTCAAGTGATCCTCCTGCTTCAGCCTTCCATGTAGCTGGGACTATGGTGTGTGCCACCATGCCTAATTTTTTTTTTTTTTTTTTTTTTTTTTGTAGAGGCAGGGGTCTCACTCTATCACCCAGGCTGGAGTGCAGTGGTGCAATTTCAGCTCACCACAACCTCTGCTTCCTGGACTCAAGTGATCTTCCCACCTCAGCTTCCCAAGTAGCTGGGATCACAGGCATGCACCACCACACCCAACTAATTTTTCGTATTTTTTGTAGAGACAAGGTTTCACCATGTTTCCCAGGTCCAAACTCCTGAGCTCAAGAAATCTGCCCACCTTGGTCTCCCAAAGTGCTGGGATTATAAGTGTGAGCCACCACAACTGGCAGTTCCAGCCCATATTTCTTTAAAACTACATTTCAATATAAATTTTTAATATAGAACCAGCTGGGAATCTTATGAAATCTGACATTCAGTGAAACCAAGTATTATTTGTTAGAATCTAAATATTTTTGAAGGCAGACAAGTATTTGTTTTAAAAGTTAAAAACTCAACAGGAACTATGTTTTTTATACACTTTCATATATTCATTATTTTTCACTTATTGAATTACAAAAATCATACTCTTCATTTTTAAACAAGCAGGAACTATCTTGGATTTTCATTGCTTAGTACAGGGCCTATAATACATAGACAATTATTTATAGAATGAATGAATATCTGGGAATTTTGTCCAATTTTTAGGGATCCAAAATTACTAAATTTCCTGTGAATTATGTCATTTGAAAAATAAGCATGTAGCTATTAAAAATGTAAGTGAAAACTGTTTAATCATTTTAGAGCAGTCAAAATACAATATAAGATTGGTATCTTGGTATCTGAAAGCAATCATTTTACCACATGCATTTTGATCTTTTACCATTCATTTTAAGTTGATGGTTAATTTAAAAACTAAGTTTTAATCAAAGTTGTTTTCAAACATTGTCATAATGTCACTTTGAAGGGTCATATCAATGGTACCCGCCATCTGTAGAAAAAGCAGAAAATTTTAAGATTACTTTAAAAATGTATGCCTTTACTAAAACTATACAATAATGATTATGCAACATTTGGGAACAGATCATACAAAATGAAAACTATTCAATAATTTTTTTATTTTTATTTTCTCAGGTTGAACAATAAATTTGTACATAATTATTTTTGTTCAAATACTACCTGATTTGTTAATATATTGTTCATGTAATAAATAAAAAACAAAACCTACAAGAACACTAAGAATAAGTTTGACCCCTCTCCACAAGTAAAAGAGAAAGTTCAATGTTGACAGAGTGGGTAAGAACATGAACTCTGAGAGCACATTGTCTTACTTATAAACCCAACATAATGCCAGACACACAAAATTACTTTTTGAATGAACCAATATCTTTGTTATGCGAGATAACCATAACATGTAATGCTAAAGCTATGGGCTTTCCTTGATTCTGCCACTTACTGTGTAACCTAGTAAGTCTATTCTATGTATAGGCATTTATGAAGAATTAGATTACATGTATAACATTCAGCAAAATGCCATATTAATCACTAAAAAGCTATTTAAAAATAAGCCAAAGTAGAGAAAAAGCTAATTAAGACAAAGGAAACAAATGTCAACTATATTCTGAAGCCTTTTCTAAATCCCCTTATAGGTAGATATTCTTTAGCATCTGAGATGACACCAAATATTAAAGTTCACAAAATTATTTTTAAAAAATAAATCAATAAACAGCAACAGACCAGAGTGGTAGGTAAAAGCACCAATTTGCAATCAGTGGGTTGGCTTCTTGAATGGGAATTAGCATTCTCATTAACTATGTGGGAAAATATTTGGAATTATGATTTACCTACTGAAAGAATATTTGAAAGGTATGTCTGACTCTTACAAACCATATAAATTTCTTTAAATCTGCCTTAGAGACAAAGGAATACTTCTTAAATCTTAATCTAGACTACATTCTTTTTTATCTTTTTTTTTTTTTTTTTTTGAGAGGGAGTCTTGCTGTCGCCCAGGCTGGAGTGCAGTGGCGCAATCTCTGCTCACTGCAAGCTCCGCCTCCCGGGTTCACGCCATTCTCCTGCCTCAGCCTCCTGAGTAGCTGGGACGACAGGCGCCCGCCACCACACCTGGCTAATTTTTTTGTATTTTTAATACAGATGGGTTTTCACCATGTTGGCCAGGATGATCTCCATCTTCTGACCTCGTGATGCGCCCACCTTGGCCTCCCAAAGTGCTGGGATTACAGGTGTGAGCCACCGCGCCCAGCCATCTCTTTTGTTTTTTTTTTGAAACAGAGTGTCATTTTGTCACCCAGGCTGGAGTGCAGTGGCATGATCTCAGCTCACTGCAACCTCCACCTCCTGGGTTCAAGTGATTCTCTTTCCTCAGCCTCCCGAGGAGCTGGGATTACAGGTGTGTACCACCATGCCCAGGTGATTTTTGCATTTTTAGTAGAGTCAGGATTTTGCCACATTGGCCAGGCTGGTGTTGAACTCCTGACCTCAAGTGATCCACCTGCCTTGGCCTCCCAAAGTGTGGGATTACAAGGCGCAAGCTACTGCAACTGGCACAGACTACATTCTTTTTTTTTTTTTTTTCTTGAGACAGAGTCTCACTTTGTCACCTAGGCTGGAGTGCAGTGGCATGACCTCAACTCACTGCAACCTCTGCCTCGCAGGTTCAGGTGATTCTCATGTCTTAGCCTCCCAAGTAACTGGGGCTACAGGTGCGCACCACCAAGACCAACTAATTCTTGTAGTTTTAGTAGAGATGGGGTTTCACTATATTGGCCAGGGTGGTCTCGAACTCCTGACCTCAAGTGATCCACCTGCCTTGGCCTCCCAAAGTGTTGGGATTACAGTCATGAGCCACTGCACCCGGCCCCAGACTACATTCTTAACACCCAGTTTCTAGGATGCCAAATGTCTAGCCCAGATAGTTCCTTAAAGTTCTATTCTAAGCCTCCAATATAGGCATTGGATACGTTGTCCTAGTTTAAATATCATGTGATACTGCTATAAGTATCCAGACATACTGCAAAATTTGTAGAATATGTAATGAAACCTGCTTTTATTTAAAGGTTGTGTGTATTGGCTTATTTTAGATTTTCTTACATCTTGACTAAAATCTGTGCATGTGGAACAATTATCGACAGAGAACTGTACCAATTAACCTTAGATACCATGATTTTTTTTTTTTTTTTTTTAATAGATGGACTTTTGCTCTTGTTGCCCAGGCTGGAGTGCAGTGGCGTGATCTCGGCTCACTGTAACCTCTGCCTCCCAGTTCAAACGATTTTTCTGCCTCAGCCTCCTAAGTAGCTAGGATTACAGGTGCACCACCATGGCTGGCCAATTTTTGTATTTTTAGTAGAGAGGGGGTTTCACCATGTTGGCCAGGCTGTTCTCAAACTCCTAACTTCCCGTGATCTGCCTGCCTCAGCCTCCCAAAGTGTTAAGATTATAGGCGTGAGCCACTGCACCCAGCCAATACCATGATTTTTAATACTAATGCTCCCCACAGCTGACACTATAAGCTGGCTGTTCCTTACCATGTGGTCCTAAACACACTCTTCAACTATTCAAATTTAAGATAAAAAGTTTGGTCAAGGGAACTGGCATGTGGTGAACTTTTGGGAGCTCTGCTAAGTGTCAAGTTGTTATTGCTTTATAGAGTATGGCTCTCTCGATTGGCAGCAAGAGGTTGGGCTGTCAAAAATGATAGCAAATAGATCCAAGATCAGGTTGTTAGTTATCAAGCTGCTAGATGTAACATCATTAGTCAACTTTCAGTGGGTTCCTAATCTAGTCATGTTCCAGAAATGTGCTTAGGATACTAGGAAATGTATCAGGTTACCTAGTTGTGTTGTTGGGCTGCAACTAGGGTGCAGTGAAATCACTTGGGGGTAACTTAAGTCAGGTCCTTGTGAGTACCAACAGGAAACATTTTTACATCAGTACAGAAAGACTTTAGGTCAGCTGATAATGAAATTTAACAATGAGTTCCTAAAAACCTCCAAAAAGACAATACCAAAAAGTTTCTATTTAAAATTGAGTTCATTAAAGTTTAAAATTCAGTTCCTTAGTTGCATTAGCTACATTTCCCGTGCTCAAGAGCCCTATGTGGCTACTTCCTAGTATGTTTGAATGGATAAAGCATATTTCTGTCATTGTAGAAAGTTCCATTAAGATTACACTGCTCGGCTGGGCGCGGTGGCTCAAGCCTGTAATCCCAGCACTTTGGGAGGCCGAGACGGGTGGATCACGAGGTCAGGAGATCGAGACCATCCTGGCTAACACGGTGAAACTCCATCTCTACTAAAAATACAAAAAACTAGCCGGGCGAGGTGGCGGGCGCCTGTAGTCCCAGCTACTCGGGAGGCTGAGGCAGGAGAATGGCGTAAACCCGGGAGGCGGAGCTTGCAGTGAGCTGAGATCCGGCCACTGCACTCCAGCCCGGCTACAGGGCAAGACTCCGTCTCAAAAAAAAAAAAAAAGATTACACTGCTCTAAAGTAAATTTCACCATATGTTAAATGTACAGGACTATTAAATGTGATTTGTTTCTACCTTAGTATTATAAAATATGTGGCTGACAAAACTTTTGTTATTCCCTAGAAAATTACTCTGTACTTTAACCAATACTATAGCTAAAGCCAATGGCTCTTCTCTTCTCAAACTAATGTTCTTATATGCCTTATGAATTTACATGTTTTTCCTAGGATTACAAAAATATCTAGTTCTATGGGACTAACATTGCTAGGGAAAAAAAAAAAAATCTAGCACCCAACAAGGTAATATTCACGACATCTGGTATTTATGATTATCAGTTATGCAAAGCAGAAAAACACTATTCACAAAGAAGAGACTAACCAATCAATTCAAACTGACCCAGAACTGACAAAATACTGGAATTAGCAGAGAAGCACATTAAAACAGTTATTTTAACTGTATTCCATTTTTTCAGAAGTTTAATACAGACGAAAAACAAAAAAACACATACATTTTTAATAAACCCAAATCTCACATCTACAATGTCTGCGATGAAAAATAAAACACTGGGGATTAACAGAAGATTAGATACTGAAGAAAAGACTGGTGAATTTATCCAAAATGAAATTCAAAGGGAAAAAAGAATTTTAAAAATTAAAAGAGCAGCCCAGGTGCAGGTGGCTCACGCCTGTAATCCTAACACTTTGGGAGGCAGAGGCAGGCAGATCCCTTAAGGACGGGAGTTTGAGACTAGCCCTGGCCAACATGGTGAAACCCTGTCTCTACTAAAAAAATAAAAACAAAAACAAAATTAGCTGGGCATGGTAGCATGTGCCTGTAGTCCCAGCTACTTGAGAGGCTGTGCCATGAGAATCACTTGAACCTGGGAGGAGGCAGAGGTTGCAGTGAGCCGAAATCACACCACTGCACTGCAGCCTGAGCAACACAGTGAGATTCAGTCTCAAAAAAAAAATAAATAAATAAAAAATAAAAGAGCATTAGTGAGCTATGGGGCAACTTTCAATGGTCTAATACATAAATAACTGGAGTCCTCACAAGGGAGTGAGGGGGGATATTATTCGAATAAATAATGGCCAAAAGCTTTCCAAGCTTGATGAAAACTATAAACACACATCTCAAATAAGCTCAACAAATCACAAGAAACATGAAGAAAACAATTGCTGAAACCCAGTGATTAATACAAATGTTAAAGGCAAGTAGAGGAAAAACATACTATATACAGAAGACCAAAGATAATAGTATTGGATTTCTCAGTGGAAACAATGGAATCAATGAGACAGTGAACAAGTACCTTTAAAGTGCTAAAAGAAAAAACATTAAAGCTCTAAGAGTTCTAAATTCAGCAAAAGTATCTTTCAAAATTGAAGGCAGGGCCAGGCGCAGTGGCTCACACCTGTAATTCTAGCACTCTGGGAGGCAGACGCAGGCAGACTGCTTGAGCCCAGGAGTTCAAGACCACCCTGGGCCACACAGTGAGACTTTGTCTACAAAAAAAACAAACAAACCAAAAAAAAAAACCATCAAAAAAATTAGCTGGCTGTGGTGGTGCATGCCTGTGGTCCCAGCTGCTGCAGGGGTTGGGGTAGAAGGATCGCTTGAGCCTGGGAGGTCAAGCCTACAGTGAGCCAAGATCATGCTGCTGCACTCCAGCCTGGGCAACAGAGTGAGACTGTATCAAAAAAAAAATAAAAGTGGCAAGTTGAAAAACCTGCAAACAAATGTTTATGACAACTTTATTCTTAATTGCCTGCTACCTGGGAGGCTAAGGCAGGAGAATTGCTTGAGCCGGGGAGGTGGAGGTTGCAGTGAGCTGAGACTGCACCATTGCATTACAGGCTGGGCAACAAGAGCGAAACTCCATCTCAAAAATAAATGAATAAATAAATAAAATAAAGAAATGAAAAGCACACGAAGTGGTAACTGCATAAATATAAGATTCTTTCCTTATTATTTAAAACAATTTAAGAGATATTATCAGTTTTTAAACAATAGCATAAGGCTGACAGGGGAGGAATGGAAGTAACTATCGTAAAGCTCTCACACGAAACATGAGGTGGTATAACATAAATTGAAAGCAGACTGTGATTAAGTTAAAGGTGTATGTTGTAAACCGTAAGCAACCACTAAAATAGGAAAACAAAGAGTTACTGATTATGTCAATGAAGGAGATAAAGTGGACTAAAAAATGCTCTGTAGACATAAAGAACGAGATCATGTCTTTTGCAGGAACATGGATGGAGCTGGAGGCTATTATCCTCAGCAAACTGATGCAGGAACAGAAAATCAAATACTGCATGTTCTCACCTATAAGTGGGAGCTGAATGATATGAACTTAGGAACACAAAGAAGGAAACAGCAGACACTGGGGTCTACTTGAGGGTGGAGGTTGGGAGGACAGAGAGGAGCAGCAAAAAAGATAACTATTGGGTACTGGGCTTAATACCTGGGTGAAGAAATAATCTGTACAATGAACCCCTGTTTGCCTATGTAACAAACCTTCACATGTACCCCAGAACCTAAAACAAAAGTTAACAACAAAAAAAGCTTAATACAAAAACGGGCAGAAAAAAAAAAAAAAAGACAAGGACAGGAACAGAAAACAAATATCAAGATGATGAACTCAAACTTAATGGTGTCAATGATTATACCGAATGTAACTAGTCTAAACATGTGATTAAAAGACAGGGATCTTTGGCTAATGCCTATAATCCTAACACTTTGGGAGGCCAAGGTGGACAGATTGCCTGAGCTCAGAAGTTTGAGACCAGACTTGGCAACATGGCGAAACCCCGTCTCTACTAAAAATATAAAAAATTAGCTGGGTGTGGTGGCACCGGCCTGTAATCCCAGCTACTCGGGAGGCTGAGGCATGAGAATCGCTTGAACCCAGGAGGCAGAGGTTGCAGTGAGCCAAGATTGCGCCACTGCACTCCAGCCTGGGCGACAAGAGCGAAATTCTGTCTCAAAAAAAAAAAATAAATAAAAATAAAATAAAATAAAAATAAAAATAAAAAACAGCCGGGCATGGTGGCTCACATCTGTAATCCTAGCACTTTGGGAGGCCGAGGCAGGCGGATCGCCTGAGGTCAGGAGTTCGAGACCAGCCTGCCTAACATGGTGAAACCCCGTTTCTATTAAAAATACAAAAAATTAGCCAGGCATGGTGGTGTGTGCCTGTAATCCCAGCTACTGGGGACGCTGAGGCAAAAGAATCGCTTGAACCCGGGAGGTGGAAGTTGCAGTGAGCTGAGATCGTACCATTGCACTCCAGCTTGGGCAACAAAAGTGAAACTTCGTCTCAATAAAAACAAACAAACAAAAGCAAGCTCCCATTACATGTTGCCTACAAGAAACTCACTTTAAATAATTTTAAAAAACACAAAATAGGTTAAAAGTAAAATGATAGAAGGAATTTTACTATGCCAACACTAGTCATAAAAAGGTGAAGTGCCTATTTTAAATTTCAGTGTAATTTTCAGAGTAATTATTACCAGAAGTAAAGATCATTTCATAATGAAAAAGAAGACAAAGCAACTTGGCCCGATTAACACCCTATCCAACAGCAATAAAATACACATTCTTCATATGCACACAGAATATTTACCAAAATAGACTATAAGCCAAGCCATAAAATAACTCTCAGTAAATTTCAAACAGTTCAATCAGATGTGTGTACGACCACAATGGAATTAAATTAGAAATCACTAACAGAAATCACTAGAATCAGAAAATCCCCAAATATCTGGAAACGAAACACTTCTGAAACAATCCATGAATAAAAGAAGGAATCAACTCTAGCTTTTAAAGTATTATTTTCTGCGTATTAGGACTCCTAAGTGAAAGTCAGTTTCTTAATCTAGCAGTCAACTGAAGAAATGCTGACCTGGAACAGATGGCGTATCTTCTGGCCACAATTCATAGGTGGTTTACGGATTTTAAACGGTAATAATAGTAAGTGATAAATCCCTTCACCTAGTGCTAGGCATTTTCCTAGGTGCTTAATACATGCTCATTCATTTCACCTTCACAATAGGTATTATCATTCCCACTTTAGGGGTTAAATAATTGCCAAAGTCTACGAGTCTGGTAAACAGGCAGACCATCTTTTTTTTTTTTTTTTAAGAGCACGATGTTGCTCTGTCACCTACACTGGAGTGTAGTGATGTGATCATAGCTCCCTACAGCCTCTAACTCCTGGCCTCAAAAGATCCTCCTGCCTCTAAAACCATCATTTTAACTCAGGTAGTCTAGTACTTCCAGGATCAATACTCTATTATGGCATTGCCTCCTTTGGCTATGAAATTTTTTATTTTAAGCTTTAATTTTAGAACCTGATCCTCACTAAAGAGGTAAGTCTACTGTCACTGAAAAGTTACCCCAAATGCATCCTTGAACATACAAAAGACAGTGCTCTGTTCAATCTTTCCCTTGTTAAATTAGATTTAGTAAACTAAAATTCACTTACTGCTTCTCTCCTCCTCCTCTCTTGTTCTTTCTCCCTTGCTAAATTACGGTCTTTGAGAAGCCAGAGTTTGGATTTATCTTGAGCTTCCAATGACTGCTGATGTTCTTTCTGCTCTTCTCCAGAGCTCTTGTTTTGTATTTTATTTGAAAAAGATTCTACAGTCAATCCATTCCCAAGATCCCTTAAAGAAAAAAAGTATAGCTCAAAGTAGGTTTCAAGTTCCTTAAAAGTATTACAAAAATATGTTATTAAATGACAAATATAAAGCCATATATTAGACAACCATTTTCATGTTATAACATTATTTTAAGCTTTATTTTTGATGCATCAAATTATACATAGGTTAATCTATATTAATAAATAAATGGTTTTAGAAAACTGACCAAGATGAACCACTATCTTCTTACACATAGACTAGAAAAACTTTAAGACATTTCTGTAAAATAATGACTATATAATTTAGTAATTAGTATCTTTAGCTTAATCCCTTATTTGTCTTCAAAAGAGATACCACCACTTAGAAAAAGTATCAATAAAAATGTACTTTTTGCAATTACAATTTGCTTTGTGTTCTACTAAATAGTTGAATCATAGCCACTTAACAAATAAGAAATTTAATATATTTAAAATACATTCTATATCTCCCAAAGCCTCCTTTAATCCAGTAAATTACAGACCTCTGGTTTTCTTGCGATACTTTTGGTTCCTTTGTATTTTGTTCCAAATGCTTCCGTATGAGTTCCTGTGTCCGAGCTTTTACTTCCTTTTCTATGGCTGCTTTTCTAAATTGGTTGAAGAGCTCATCTGAGGATTTCATGACACCTGATGGTTTCACGGATTTGCCCAAACTTTTCCATGAATCTGCATTCTTAATCTTTATATCCTAAAACAAGTATTTGGTTCAGTCTACGTCTACAGATGTTAACCAAATTTTAGAAGGAAGAAAATATTTTTTGATACAGCAATAAATTTAATGAAGATTCTAAAGGCCTTCATGTACTTTTACTAAAGTTAAAGGTTGCTAAAGTCAGAAAAAAAATACAAAAACATAATAGATCATCTAAACTCAATTATTAATCTGAGACCAAATTAAAGTAGCACGCTTGCCAATTAAGACATATATATTAACTGTATAATTTGCAGAAAGCATAAAAATAAATAAATCCCTCAGTGTAAACAAGATACTTATCATCTGATAGGGAAAGTAAGGCAAATGCTCAAAGGATTAATAAGAGGCAAAGTAAGATCATACCCTAAAAATGCCATGCAGTTTGTTGAGAGCCCTCTGACACATATATATTTTTTCTTTTGGTAGTTAAGAAGAAAAAACGTAAGTGATGTGACTGCTCTTCTTAAACAAGATACACCATGGTTGAGATTAGTGCTGCCCATCAGAAATATATGTAATTTAATGTTTGCTAATAGCCACATTTTAAAAATGTAAGTAAATTTAATATATTTATTTAACCAAATACACCCAAAGCATTATTTCTACATGTAATCAATATAAAAGACATAAGATATTTTTCCTTACTAAGTCATCCCAATTATTACATTTGCAAGACATTTCAATTCAAATGCTAAATTCCTACTAAAAACAATTGATCTGTAGATTTCATAAAATTCACAGTTGAAAAACTAGTTATGTATAGTCAAACTGTTCCAAACACATCTAAGTCTTCCGAAACTGAATTGTGTCCATTTTAAATTTTAATTAAAAGACAAATTTTAAAACTTAGTTCCTTTAGCTACATGTCAAGGGCTCAATTAGCCACATATGACCAGAGGCTACCATATTAGATAAGCACAAGTCTAGATGGCCCTTTCTAACAGTTAATCTGTCCATCTATAATAAGGGAAGAGGGCTGTGCAATACTAAAACATCCTCTGAGTTTCTAAAAATAATTATCTCCTTAATAATTATGCTTGATTGCACTTTTGATATATTTCCATGAAATATGGGGAGAAAACTTGTCTAGGGTCCCATATAAGGCAAAAGAAAATGTATGACTAGATACATTTATAGGTCTTTCATTTCTGTGCTGAAGTAATGGAGTAAAAACATCCCTCCCTGACCCCAACACAAGGACCTTTACCAATCACCAATGATCAGCCAGTTGTGCTTTCCTATAAGTTGTCAATAAAACCTGTTTCTGCCTCTACCTATGGAATGGGTTCATTACTAGTTCTACGACTCACTCAACTAAAGCATCTCACCTTCCAACAGAGATTTGAAACAGAACAGGTAATATCTGGTAGTACAGTCATCCCTTGGTATCCACGGGGAATTGGTTCCAGGACCTTCCACAGATACCAAAATCCATAGGTGCTCAAGTCCCTGATATAAAATGATACAGTATTTGCACATAACCTGTGCATATCTTCTCATATACTTTAAATCCTCTCTGGGCTAGTTATAATACCTAACACAAATGTAAACAGTTGTTATACTCTATTGTCTGGGGGAATAATGACAAGAAAAAAAGACTGTACATGTTCAGTATGGATCCAATTTTTTTCCCAAATATTTTCAATCCTTGGTTGAATCCACAGATACAGAACCCACAAGTACCAAGGGCTGACTGTATATTTAATAGAGAATAAAGGAAGGATGAAACCCTGGTCTCTGGCTCTGTGTCCTGAAATAATTATTTTACTGCAATGAAATTTTGACAGACCCCAAGTCAGGAAAGTTCATGTATGGAGCTTTTCAGGTATTACCAAGAATGAGAAGACTTTTGACAAGCAGAGATGAGGATGGAAAGCATTCCTCATGGAAGAAAGCACATAGTCAAAGGTCTTGCTAGGTTTATCTGGAGAGAAATGAGTAGTTCAGTTTCAATTAATTACAAGACACATTAGTTAAGACTGAGAAGTTAGCTTGGGGTCACAACACAGAGGTGCTTACTTTTCATTCTGGTGGCAGAAGTTGGAAACCACTAAAGCTTTCACACAGATAAGTAATTTAATCACAACAGTACATCAAGAGGACTAATATAAAAATATTAAAAGTAGAATAGGCTGGGCACAGTGGTTCATGCCCATAATCTCAACACTTTAAGAGGCCAGGGCAGGTAAATCACTTGAGTTCAGGAGTTCAGGTAAATCACATAGGTAATATGGCGAAACCCTGTCTCTACAAAATATTAAAAATTAGCAGGGTGTAGGCTGGGCACAGTAGCTCATGCCTGTAATCCCAGCACTTTGGGAGGCCAAGACGGGTGGATCACGAGGTCAGGAGATCAAGACCATCCTGGCTAACACGGTGAAACCCCGTCTCTAGTAAAAATACAAAAAATTAGCCGGGTACGGTGGTGGGCGCCTGTAGTCCCAGCTACTCAGAGTCTGGGCAACAGAGGGAGACTCCATCTCAATAAAAAAAAAAAAAAACAAAACCAAAAACCCAGGTATGGTGGTGTGCACCTGTAGTCCCAGCTACTCAGGAGGCTGAGGTGGGAGGATCACTTGAGCCTGGGAGATCGGGGCTGCAGTAAGCCGTGATTATGCCACTACACATCAGCCTGGGTGATAGAACGAGACCCTGTCTCAAAAAACAAAACAAAACAAAACAGTGAATGGATTATAACAAGGAAAGCCTCAACTAAGTCAGACCAGAACCACTTAGGAATGTTAAAAGAGCTCAGATTTAGGCAATAAGGCCTGGTCTCTGTGATGCTAAGGGAAAAGAAGATACCTTTAGGCCTGGTGCGGTGGCTCACGCTTGTAATCTCAGCACTTTGGGAGGCCGAGGCAGACAGATTACTTGAGGTTAGGAGTTCGAGACCAGCCTGGCCAACACAGTGAAACTCCATCTCTACTAAAAATACAAAAATTAGCTAGGCACAGTGGTGCTAGCCTGTATCCCCAGCTACTCAGGAGGCTGAGGCAGGAGAATCGCTTGAACCTAGGAGGTGGAGGTTGCAGTGAGCCAAGATCACATCACTGCACTCCAGCCTGGGTGACAGAGCAAGACTCTATCTCAAAAAGAAAAAAATAAATTAAAAAATAAAAACAAAAAAAGAAGATCTCTTTAAAGGTAAAACCCAAAGAATTTAGCACCTCTTTAGTTGTAGAGAACTGAGAAGTTGTCAAAAATGATAAAACTTATGAGAGATCATGTAGATGAAGTATATACGAGTCATCTACATAGAGACTGTAACTGAAATCTCCACAGTGGACGTTCAATCAGAAAAGAATAGTAGTAGGCCCTGGTTTCACACCTTATGAAGACTTTGGGAGGGATGCAGTTATTTAGAGGTCACTGGCCCCTCTGGGGCAGGGATGCAAATTATAGGCATATGGGAGCACCTAGATGCTAAGTAAAATAAAGACTGACTCTCAACTGGGGGTGATTTTGCCCCTTATCTCCCCAAAGTGGGATATTTGGCTATGTTAATAGACAATTTTGGTTTCAAATGCAGGTGGAGGAAAGGGCACTACTAGCATCTAGCAGGTAGCAGTTAGGGTTCCTGTTAATCAGCCTACAATGCGCACAGGCCCACCACCAAGAAAAATTTACCCAGCCTAAAATGTTAATAGTGCTATGGTTGAGAAACTCTAAGATCTGAACAGATAGTGAGAAAATAAGACAAAAAGGAATAATGGATAGAGGCTATAGGAGCAGGAGAGCTCCATAGTAAACATGTTGAATGAAAGGGAATTAAGAACAGAGACAGATGGGTTAGACGTGGTGAGAAGGGATACCTTTTCCTGAGAAAGAGGTAAGAGAAGGATGACAAAGCTAAGGGCTCTGCTTAGTAGATGAGAAGTTGAAAGTCTACTGAGTGCAGCAAACCACCATGGCACACGTTTCCCTATGTAACAAACCTGTACATCCTGCACATGTACCCCAGAACTTAAAAAAAATAATATATTTTTTTTAAAGTCTACTGAAATGACTAGGTTTAATTCCAGCTCTTACATGGGCAAGATGCTTGGGTCATCTGGGGTGCAATTTATTCATAAAGACTTTCTTGAAGATTTCTTTTAGCACCAAAATTCCATAGCCTTTTTTTTTTTTTTTAATGTTAAAGAGGTGGGTCTTGCTTTTTCACTCAGGCTGGAGTGCAGTGGCAAAATCATAGCTCATTGCAGCCTCAAACTCTTCGGTTCAAGCAATCCTCCTGCCTCAGCCTCCTGAGTAGCTGGGATTACAGGTATGTGCAACTGCACCTGGGCCCAACTTCTCTTTTCAGTAAGTGTTAACACTGCTTAAAATGAGGGAACGAGGGTGGGAAATGTCAAGAATGTAAACAGTTTGCTTGATCCTCTGTTTTGAAGAGAGCCAACTACACAATCCCATTTCTTCTTAAACTTTTACTCCAACATTTTAGTGACTTACACCTGTAGTACAAACTTGAATGGTGTAACATAGACTTGATGCTTTGGTGCTTATTTTTGCTGTAACCTCTTCGTCCTGTTGGGCATTTTATTGTTTTGAAACTTTATTTTGGGCCAGTCAAAATTATAAAGTTTTGTTAAATTAGAAACAAAAAGTATAGTACATAATGAACCAAATGTTTAAGAAAATCTATTTTAAGAAAAATAGAGGTCTCCCCTATGTTGCTCAGGCTGGGCACAGGGGCTCATGCCTATAATCCAAGTGCTTTGGGAGGCCAAGGTGGGAGGACTGCTTGAGCCCAGGAGTTTGAAACCAGCCTGAGCAACATAAGGGAGACCTCATCTCTACAAAAAATTTAAAAACAAAACAAAAACTCTGCAACATGATTCTTCGCATCTTAAAGGGGATGGAGGGGCCCGGCAAGGTAGCTCATGCCTGTAATCCCAGCACTTCGGGAGGCCGAGGCCGGTGGATCACGAGGTCAGAAGTTCGAGACCAGCCTGACCAACATGGTGAAACCCCGTCTCTACTAAAAATGCAAAAATTAGCCGGGCGTGGAGGCGCGCACCTGTAATCCCAGCTACTTGGGAGGCTGCGGCAGGAGAATCACTTGAACCCAGGAGGCAGAGGTTGCAGTGAGCAGAGATCGGGCCACTGCACTCCAGCCTGGGTGACAGGGAGAGACTCTGTCTCAAAAAAAAAAAAAAAAGGGGGGGGGATGGATGGAGGACACTTCTGTTTTTAAGTAAAACAAAATACAATAAAATACAAAATTAATTAATGTTGGTTGTCAGAAAAGTCACTTTTGAATGGTTCTTATCCATACTTATCAATAACAAAACATCCACACTAAACATTGCCAGTCTTTAATGATAATAATTATGAGCAGAGAATTATGTAAAAGAATCAAAGATGCTAAGAAAGCACAAGGGCCAAAGCAGTTTGATCCTCATGGTGAAATGATTTCCTAAGTGTCCCCAGACAACAATCTTAAACACTAAGGCTAAGATTTGTCCTCTAAAGTACTTGTAAGAAAAAGGTAAGAAGTAGGGGGTAATGGAACAGAGGGAGGGAGGGGGAGAGAGAGAGAATATACAAATATATTCCTTTCATAGTCTCTGAAAACACCTTGAACAGTACTTTATGTATCTTAATGTATCCCAATCATCTAGAATATTTGTTGAAAGAATGATATCAGTATATAATTTGACGATTAAGTAGGCATAATACTCCATTAGGAAATCCCTTGGATTTCTTAGATATCCCTAGAATAGATTCTAATAGATGGTTTTATGACATGCTTTAAAATTGGGATTGCTGGCAAATAAATATCAACATTATAGAACTTTCAGTTAAACACAAACAAGAGGGCCAAGTGCAACGGCTCATGCCTGTAATCCCAACACTTTGAGAGGTTAAGGTGAGTGGATCACCTAAGATCAGGAGTTCGAGACCAACCTGGCCAACATGGCGAAACACCATCTCCAATAAAAATACAAAAATTAGCCGGGCATGGTGGTACACACCTGCAATCCCAGCTACTCGGGAGGCAGAGGCATGAGAATCGCTTGAACCTGGGAGGCAGAGGTTGCAGTGAGCCGAGATTGTGCCATTGCACTCCAGCCTAGGTGACAGAGTGAGACTCCGTCTCAAAAAACAAACAAACAAACAAAAATACAAACAAGAGGACCAATGATAGGTAGGTAGGTGGATAGGGGAAGGATGTTGCTCGTGAGTACTTTTCTTAAAAATTACATAGGCAAAAATTAGGCTTAGAGATCCAACATTTCATTTAAGTCTGGGCTTTTAAATAACTCTTGTACCACTTCCAAACCCAATTTCAAATCCTTTCAAGATTTGTTAGGAAAAAAAAAACAACATTACTTTTACCTTCTGCACAGGAGCTTGACATTCAGATTCTAACATCGTTGTGTCATTATCACCAGATGGATGCATCACAGTTATGCCATTTGAGAGCTGTTCAGAATCACCTGGATGCACACATTTTTAGAATAGTATAATTAAAATATTTCATCCTACTCAACCAGAATTTGATTTTATTTTTCCTTCCAGGTCAGACACTATGAAAACAAAGAGACTAATTTTTTGATGCATCATTTAACTTTGGAATATTCTTAGTTAGGGACCTGTTATACTGTAAAATATTTCTCATTTGAAAGTTACCACTTTGTTCTCTTTTTGTTATTTTTGCTTATTCTGGTCACCATGAAGTATAGCTGACATCATACTCACATACCAAAACCTATTTTATTTGACCCCATGCTATAGCAGCTCTCCAGTGTACAGAGTGACCTCAGCTCCAGATGTTTTTTTTTTTGTTTTTTTTTTTGAGAGAGAGGTCTTGCTTTGATGCCTCAGGCTAGAGTACAATGGCGCAATCTTGGCTCACTGCAACCTCCACCTCCCTTCTCTGCTTCCTGTCAGTGATGATTTACAAAGGAGAAAAAGTATGTATGTAAGTGAAATTCTAAAGTGACCCTCAATTTGCTGACCCTAAGTTGGTAAGTGGTGATAGTGCCATTATTAACAATTAAAGAGGAAGGATTAAATTCTGGGGACCAGGCTGGGTGCAATGGCTCAGGCCTGCAATCCAGCACTTTGGGAGACCAAGGCGGGAGGATTCCTTAAGCCCAGAAGTTTGAGACTAGCCATGGTGAGACTCCATCTCTACCAAACAAAACAAAACAAACAAACAAAAACTTAGCTGGGCATGGTGGCACATATTTGAGGTCCCAGCTACTTTGAGAGGCTGAGGTAGGAGGATGGCTTCAGCCCAGGAAGTCAAGGCTGCAATGAGCCATGTTTGCGCCACTGTATTCCAGCCTGAGCAACACAGGAAGACTGTCTCAAAAAAATAAATAAAATCTGGGGACTAAAAGGGGGAATTCAGTTTTTACATGGCTGTGTGTGGAATGCTTATGTGATGTTTAAGCAAAGACATTTAGTAGAGTTGTATAAACATGCCTGGGGCCTGGATACATTTGAACTGTAAAAATGAGACTAGAAGTCATGGATGCCAAAGATCACTCAAGTATACAGCACTGCTTCCAACCTTTTCCACGTCATGATATATAGAAAATGATCAATGTATGGCCACCTGCACAAATGGGAAGGCTGCTCCCAGCTCATTGCTATAAGCTGAGGGGACATTCATTCAGTAAGACTGTGCTTTGAAACATGGTTGGGTAATTCTGGAGTAGATGAAAAAAAGATATAAGAGGCTTAAGGATGCGACTTAGACAATTATCAACATCTAAAGGGAGGCAGATAAAGAGAGATCTGTAAGGAACAGAGAGATAGGATGGTTAAGAGAGGTGTCATAAAAGCCTAGGAAGTATGTCAAGGGTCCAACTCCCTGAAAAATATTTTTACATAAATGACGCTGTGACACCTCAAAACACTACAAAACTAATCTTTCCTCAGAAGCCTATTCTTCATCTGTGTCCCAGGTCTGTCAACCTGGACTGTATCCAGCCAGTATCCCGTGAGCCACCAAAGCTTATATCCCTGGGTTATTAACCCAGCACGTTTTCATATTTTGCAGACCTGCCCATTCTACTCTTCTAATTTAACTTTCCCCTTTTCTTTCCTTTTATCACTTTATGTCATTTTTTCCCTACTACTGCAACAGCCCAGCTGGTCTCCTCTTCTCTAGTCTCTATATTCTTTCCTTCAACTCACCTAAATAATATTGGCAAATAAATCACCCAGAGGCACAACTTCACTCGAAAAGTCGTCACTGCCTCCCCACTGACTATACTATTATAATTAAGTACAAAGTATCTGGACTTAAAGGGTTAAATGATCTAAACCTGGTCTACCTTTCTAATTTTCCACATTCCTGTTTAATCCAACCAAATCTTTAATCACATGGAATTATGAGTTGCCTAAATACCTTCACATTCATGTTGCTTCCTCCATCCAAATGCCTTTCCATACTAAATATACATAGGTAAGCCTTATTTTTTTCTGCAATATCCAGCTCAAATGATACTCATTCTGTAAAATACGTATCTGCCAAACAGATCAGGTGATTCTGCCTTCTTTACTTCCTTAAAGTTCACTTTAGCTTCTCTCAGGGCACATTATTTTTACTTTATATACCAGTTGTTCATGTCTCCTATGAGACAGCAAACTCCTGGATTTACTTTTTCATTTGCAATTATGAATTCACGTTTATATAACAACCTAAATATTTTAAAGACTCAATATAATTTAGTGAAGTTTAAAAAAAAATTTTTTTATTATACTTTAAGTTCTGGGATACATGTACAGAACGTGCAGGTTTATTACATAGGTATACACGTGCCATGGTGGTTTGCTGTACCCATCAACCCGTCATCTACATTAGGTATTTCTCCTAATGTTATTCCTCCCCTAGCCCCCCACAGGCCCCAGTGTGTGATGTTCCCCTCCCTGTGTCCATGTGCTCTCAGTGTTCAACTCTCACTTAGGAGTGAGAACATGCAGTGTTTGGTTTTCTGTTCTTGTGTTAGTTTGCTGAGAATAATGGTTTCCAGCTTCATTCATGTCCCTGCAAAGGACATGAATTCATCTTTTTTTATGGCTGCAATTTAGTGAAGTTTTTATGAGACAGGGAAAGGGTAAACTATAAGGATAAGGGTAGTAATCTTTTATGGCTAAAAGCTTCAACTTATAAGGAAAAAAAATTCAACATCGTCCATTTCATGTGGAGATCGTATGTGGGCAGGTGTGATGAAAACCAGTAACACTTAAAAATTCACTTTTTAATATTTTACATACTCTAACATTTTGTCAAACTATTTTTCCAATAAGAAAACTTCAACATACATGTTACTTTTATCATTTAATTGTAAGGTTTAACAAAAAATTTATTTCTATTGAGATTTAACTCCAAAAAAAGAAAATGTCTTTATAAATCTTATGGCTCACATACATTTGCAATTTCCCTTGGGCATAGTGCCACCTACAGTTGGCAAATGTAAACCACGTTGTTTATGAGAATTTTGCTAACTGCAAAAGAACAGCTACTTTGGCATCGTTCAAACTTTCCTTTATACATTAGATTACTAATAAGAATCATATAAACAGAATTTCAAGTAATATAACAAACTGATCCTTACTGAAGGTGTAGGTATTAAAAGTCTGACTTTTCATAGATAGGGTGTTTTCTTAAATTAGGAATAAGAGAACACCTGGACTACATTCTTACCTTTGTTTTTCATAATCTATTCCTTTTCAAGGGCAAGGCTACCCTGGCATTCTTCTAAAACATACTCTGGCTAAAGCAGTAACTTTTGCGTACTTTAGCTCTTTATAACGAGCCTTCAAATGTTCAAATCTCTCCAATTAAAAAACTCAATCTCGCCCACTCCTCCAAAAAAATCTATTTTCCTGTTAAAGTCACAAATATCTTCCCATCCTCTTTACCAACAAAGTTCTTCAAAGAATGGTTTACATTCACTACACTCAAATTCCATTACTTCTGAATTTACAACAATCTGGTTTCTACCCCATCACAATGGGTACTAAAAAAGCCTCTGCAAAAGTAAAAATTCTCACATTCCCAATGTAATGCTCTCTCTCTCCATTCCTCATCCTACTTAAATGCTCTGCAGTATGTGATACTCTTGATTTCCTTCCCAAAAAAAATCTATCTTCATGGGCTTCTATTACACTATTTTCCCTTTTTCTCTACCTTTGATTACCTCTTCTTTTAACTATTTTTTTCTACTTTTACTGAGGAGGTTTTGTTTCTTAGAATTTTGTCCTTGAACTTTTCTCTTCCTGCTCTGCAGATTTTCCCGGGTGTTTTCGTTTATTCTTATGGCTTCTAGTAGCTTCTACATACTGCTAATTCCTAATTTGTAACTCCTGTTACACGCTGGTAGTTCTAGAAACCTATTTCTAGCTTTATATTTCCACTTAGATATTCTGTAACATCTCAAACATGTGCAAAATGAGTTGTCTGCTGTTTTCAATCCAACTATTAGATAATCTCCCAGTGGCTCATTCATTTTAACAAAGTCTATCAATTCTGCCATAAAAATGCCTTATACATCCACATCCTTTCTATAGTTGCTGTGTTACTTTTGGTCCTAATAATTCATTTCCTAGACTATAGCATTCAGTGTCCTTACTTGATCCTAACTACATCAGAGTATCATCTTAATCCATCCTCTATATAGTAAGCAGCAATTTTTTCCCTATTATAAAACCTAAGGCCAGGTGTGGTGGCTCATGCCTGTAATCCCAGAACCTCGGGAGGCCAAGGTAGGTGGATCACTTGAGGCCAGGAGTTCAAGACCAGCCTGGCCAACGTGGCGAAACCCTATCTCTACAAAAAATACAAAAATTAGCCGTATATGGTGGTGCATGCCTGTAATCCCAAATACTTGGGTGGCTGAGGCATGAGAATCGTTTGAATCCAGGAGGCAGGGGTTGCAGGGAGCAGACGTTGTGCTACTACACTCCAGCCTGCGCAACAGGGCGAGACTCTGTGTCAAAAAATAAATAAATAAAATTGAATAAAATCTGATTATGCTTCCTATACGAAGCTCCTTGTTGTACACAAATAAAAGTATACAAATTTGTATACAATTTATTTGTTGTATACAAATTAATAGCACTGGTATATTCTAGGTAACTCATGACCTATAGCTATCATTCCGTTATTCTCCAAGAATCTTGAAAATGTATTTCCAAAAAAGAGTAGACATAAATATTTCATACTTGGGATATTTGTTTATTCTTCTTCCTGGAATGCCCTCCGGTGTGGCCTTAGATATTTTCTCCATTGATCTCCATTCCCTTCCGCACAATGAAGAGATATAACTTTAGGTAAAGACAAAATGGAATATTCAAACACAGAATAGGGAGGCTGAGGCAAGCGGATCATCTGAGGTCAAGATATAGAGACCAGCCTAACCAACGCGGTGAAACCCTGTCTCTACTAAAAAGAAAAAAAATTAGCTGGGTGTGGTGGTACATGCCTGTAATCACAGCTCCTCTGGAGGCTGAGATAGGAGAATTGCTTGAACCTGGGAGACAGAAGTTGCAGTGAGCCAAGATCGCACCACTGCACCCACCCTGGGCAACAAGAATGAAACTCCGTCTCAAAAACAAACAAACAAACTACAAAAATATTAGCTGGGCATGGTGGCGCACGCCTGTAATCCCAGCTACTCAGGAGGCTGAGGCAGGAGAGTCGCTTGAACCCGGGAGGCGGAGGTTGCAGTAAGCCAAGATTGTGCCACTGCACTCCCACCTGCAAGACAGAGCGAGACTTCATCTCAAAAAATAAATTTAAACAAACCATAAACACACACACACACACACAAAATAATAGGGAGCTTTTAAACTGAAAGCTGCAAAGAAGAATCAAAACGTCTCCCTCTTCCTCCTAATCTGTGTTGCAGTAAAACAGCTTGGAAATTTATTCTGCTAGGGAGATACTTCCGCTCTTGGGTGGCCAAGTGGAAACCAGAGCACATTCTAGAGGGAAGAAGAATGGACAAGGAATATTCATATCTGCCTTTAACTTAGGCCTAAATACACTAGTGTCTCAAGGTTTAGTTATGCTCTAGGCTAAACTCGTATCAGAAGTACCCTTCGTGCCACACATCCCCTTTGACCCACCAGGAGAACCAAGTTGAGATGCAAAACTTTCCCTTCTGGTAAGATATTAAGTCAAACAAATCTAAAAATATAAAAATTTAACCAGTTTTAGACGAATAGGAACTACCCTTAGGCAAGAACTTCTAGCCCAAGTTTCCTTAAGTGTAAACTATTTTATATACCTATAACTTCATTTCTTTACCTATAGAATCTCTATTTCTTTACCTATAGAATCTCTAAGTAAGTTATCTTTCCCTTATTCTTTCCTACTTTTCTAATCCAGATAGGTGTCATGGAAGTTAAAGCAGCATTTCCCAGATCTGCTCAGAACTTGGTAGTATGGGCTCCGACAGTAACAGGCGTGTGTGTGTGTGTGTGTGTGTGTGTGTGTGTGTGTGTGTGTGTGTAAAATGTATGTATATTATACACATAAATGTGTATATAATTTATATATATATTTATATATGTAGTGCGTGTGTGTGTGTATATATATCATACCAATGTATATAATTTACATGAAAGTAAATTGGGTGTAAACTGTATACATAATTTTCTTTCTTTTAAATGTAATGAATGCCTACAGGTATAAAGCAGATAATTTCTAATGATGTGCTTCAGTGATTATTCATAACCTGGAATTTACTAGTTATGATTGTTGGTATTTCCCAGATATTTAACATTTAAGATGACCATAGCATTTTCACATACGTATAGTTTTAGAAGTCAGTTTCTCAATAACAGTTGTTTACTTGTTAATTTCTTACCTGAGGGAGGCAGAATTTGTAAAGGTGAAATGTTTTTCACGGTCTGTAAATGTTCTAATTCTTGATAATTAAATGCTAATTGGTGGTGATTTGGTGGCATTACATGTGAAGGTGTGGTCTGATGAACAAGGGTAGTACTGGCAGAGGTTTTGTCTTGCACAGAACATTCTATCTGTTAAAACAAAATCAAAGTTATCACTTAGTTTTATCCATACAAGAAATATACCAAAGAGAACAGAAATACAAGAGGCAAGAATATAATTTAACGCTATCTTTTTAAAATACTTTATTATTTAAGTCACACAAATCCATAATGTATAGTTATCCCTATCTTGCAAATGAGGAAACTGGGGTTTAAAAGGATTAAATAACTTGGTCATTATATGGCTTACAAGAGGTAGAGTAAGTCAAAGCCTATGATCTTAGTTATGAGTATACATGTATATTATTAAACAATGCTATTCATTTTTTAAAGCTTTCCTGTAATTACTAAAAAACAAAACAAAACAAACCCCTGAGTTTTCGTAGCAAATCTAGAGACCAATTCACTTACTTTAGCCATTTTTCCTTACTGTATTACAGACATAAGGGGAGAAATTTAAAATTACATTATGTTCAACCCACAAGACTATCAATAAATTCTAATTCAATATTCAGGTAACTATCAAGTAAAAGCTATAGTGTAATAATAGCTAACATTTATTTAATGTTTACTCTATGTGAGGTACCAGGGTAAGTCCTTTATATGGTTTTTCTTTAATTCTCACAATAATCCTATGAGTTAGGTATAATTTTTATCTCTATTTACATTTTCTAGAAATAATAGAAGCAGCTTACCTAAAATCTCACACCTATTCTGCGGCAAGCGAAGTTACAGTAGCAAAGCCCAGTAACCTTATCTAACCAGTAGTAGATGGCACAGAGATAAATAAGACAGTCTTTCTCCTTTGTCTAACAAGGCATTGGGGTGAGTGAGTAGGGAGGCAAGTGTACAAGTAACACCTATGCGAATATGAATAAAACAAATGCCATAGGAATGTTTATCACAACAATATAGACCCAGGCCAAAGCTTAAAGCCTAATGCTCAGGTTTAAATCAGCCGAAGAAAAAAATTACTTTCAGAACTACACAAATATACACATTCATACATGAACCTATGGATTAATATATACTATCTTTTACCATAAATAGACATTTTTTTTCTCAGTGAGTGCAAAAATTTTTACCAAAAATAGACCATTAAAAAGGTGGCATTCGCCAGGCGCGGTGGCTCACGCCTGTAATCCCAGCACTTTGGGAGGCCAAGGCAGGCGGATCATGAGGTCAGGATATCAAGACCATCCTGGCTAAATGGTGAAATCCCGTCTCCACTAAAAATACAAAAAATTAGCCGGGCGTTGTGGCGGGTGTCTGTAGTCCCGGCTACTCAGGAGGCTGAGGTGGGAGAATGGCGTGAACCCGGGAAGTGGAGCTTGCAGTGAGCCAAGATCGTGCCACTGCACTCCAGCCTGGGTGACACAGCAAGACTCTGTCTCAAAAAAAATAGAAAAAAAAAAGTGGCATTCTACATGCTACATATTGAGATAAAAATGCTTCCAAAGTTCCTTCATAACTTGACATAATTTTTTTATTCCACTAATATACCTTTGGCAAGATAGATCCTATAACTTCTTCCTATTCAAAAGGAATGGGAAGGCCAGGCATGGTGGCTGAAGTCTGTAATCCCAGCACTTCGGGAGGCTGAGGTGAGTGGGTCACCTGAAGTCTGGAGTTTGAGACCAGCTTGGCCAACATGACGAAACCCCGTTTCTACTAAAAATACAAAAATTAGCCAGGCGTGTTGGTGTGTGCCTGTGGTCTCAGCTACTCCGGAGACTGAGGCATGAAAATTGCTTGAACCCAAAAGGCGGAGATTGCAGTGAGCCAAGATCATGCCACTGCACTGCAGCCTGGGTGATGGAGTGAGACTCTGTCTCAACAACAAGAACAAACAAACAAATAAGTGTGTGAGTGTGTGTGTGTGTATATATTTTCTCTTATGTGTCCAAAGCCCCGTTATATACTACAAGTCATCTAATAAATATCCTCAGCCTTCCATATTTCTCTGAACATGCTTGCTGTGTTTTTTCGTTTTTTTTTTTTTTTTTTGCCTCTCTTCATGCTATTACTTATTTTAAAAAATAAGCCTCTAATCTGTATGTAAACCATTTCTTTCCATGTTCTTTAAAACACATTTTAAGCATTACCTGTGTGATGCCTATTCTTCCTTCAGGCAGTATACATTCATTCTTCATTTTCTAAAAATAATTATATAGATTATAGCATTAATCATATTATCTCTTAACCATGTGATTATATTCCTTTTTCACAAATTACAGCTCTTTTAAGACAATATTATTTGTTATTTGTTTCCCTAACCTAGTTAGATGTTGTTACATAAATAATTCTATGTTTGGAAGGGGTACAAAGGGAAAAAAATGTACATGAGGATGACAACTTGAGCTAGTAAAAAAATCACTTCTGTTCTTTTCAAAGCACATCAACTACTAGTCAAACATAGATGTGTCAAAATGGATAACTGGCAATTAAAAGCTTTATCTGTAGAAACCTTAATTACCACTCTCCTACCATCTTTTGAGAAATTTCACTTCATTGTACGCACAGTTCTGTACACTCATTCAGGATGCCAAGGCCATCCCTCTGTATTCAGACTCTCAGGGATAAGCTGAAGCTTCTAGAATTTGTTCTACTTATCCATTTGGCTTATATAACAGTTATATCTTATTGAAAAATGAAGCCAAAGAGTTTCCCTATTCGGTCTTCTTCGGGAAGAAATCACTGAACATTTAGTTGATAAGCTAAAAACAGTGACAACTTTCTTCATGTAAATAAAATTGAAAACAATTTTAAAGAAAGCTACTACTATACCTATGAGTTATAACATACATACTTTTAAAATTTGGAGATACGAATAAAGAATTTACTTACTTTTACATTCTCTTTAGAGGGAGAATCATTTGGTTTTACTTCTGTAAACTTAGGGAACATTTCTGCAAATATATACACATAAATATTTTAATATTTATTAGCTTAAAAAATAGCAAGCTATAATTTTTCAACATTAGAAACACAGTGAGGGCCGGGCGCGGTGGCTCACGCCTGTAATCCCAACACTTTGGGAGGCCAAGGTGGGTGGATCACAAGGTCAGGAGATGGAGACCATCCTGGCTAACACGGTGAAACCCCATCTCTACTAAAAATATAAAAAATTAGCTGGGCATGGTGGCACATGCCTGTAGTCCCAGCTACTCAGGAGGCTGAGGCAGGAGAATCGCTTGAACCTGGGAAGCAGAGGTTGCAGTGAGCCAAGATCACGCCACCGCGCTCCAGGCTGGGCGAGAGAGCAAGACTCCGTCTCAGAAAAAGAAAGAAATACAGTGGTGATTTCAAGAAAATGCCTTTATTACCAACCTCTCATATGAAGAAATCCTCATAGTCACAGGTTTTCACCCTCTTTGAATCAGCTAAAATTTCTAAAGGGATACCTGCTTTTAAGATATTTTATTTTCCTATAGTGGAATAAATTTCAGTTTACATTATGTTCAGGCAAAAAAGCACAGTATGTTACTTAACACTAAAGAGCTTGAATAACTGACAGTTTAAAAAGGAATTTGTTGCAAGAGAGATAAGGTTTCAAATAAGCAGCATCCATTATGCTAAAATCATCTTTTATCAAATAGCCATAAATATAGCCCTAAGAGGCTTAATTTTTAAAAAATCAAGAATTTACTATAAGAGAAGGGGATGTCATTTATCTGAGAGGATACAGTCTTTTATTAAAAGTAAAGCTATTTTAGTTCTGTGGAAAGGTCTGCTGTGCTTGTTAAACTCTGTAATAAAGATTCTATCTGATTACTTCTAAGCTATTTGGCAGCCTCAGCTATACAGCAAGAAATGGGTTTTATATTATCTCCTCTGCCTTTAGAAATACTGTACAGCTGACACTGGCATTAGAAGCAGACATAAAAAGAGATCTCTCCAACAGGGTGCTAGTGGGTTTCTCTTTCTTTATCCTACAATTGTTTCTGATGCTATCCTCCCCAGTCATAATCCTGGGTCAGTAAGGTAAAGCACCAAACTGGTAGTAACTGCCTTGATCAGTCTCTCCAAGCCAGCTTTCATGACCACCTGAGTGTTATTTGTTTCATGCTCCAGGACACCAAGGCTGGTCAACACCAAACATTATTCAAACTTAAAACATTCTAATTTTAATAATTACCTTCTGCCTTCTGAAAAGCCATCAGTTTCCACTGGATGTGTTACTGTTCTTTCCTCTCCTAAAATGTTTGATGCTGGACATTGTTAAAATTGCTGAATGCCACTCAGTGACATCCTTTAAATAATTCAAGTACTTAAAATGACATGAATCATCTTTTTTTTTTTTTTTTTTTTTGAGACTGAGTCTGGCTCTGTCGCCCAGGCTGGAGTGCAGTGGCCGGATCTCAGCTCACTGCAAGCTCCGCCTCCCGGGTTTACGCCATTCTCCTGCCTCAGCCTCCGGAGTAGCTGGGACCACAGGCGCCCGCCACCTCGCCCGGCTAGTTTTTTGTATTTTTTAGTAGAGACGGGGTTTCACCGTGTTAGCCAGGAGACATGAATCATCTTAATGTCACTCAGCTAAGTATTATTTAAGTGTTGCAGGCTAGGTGTAGGGGTAAGAGAAGGAGACAGACTGAGAAGATTGAGAATATATATCCAGACAGCTTTCGCATTTAAAGGACAAATTAGGCAGGGCGTGGTGGCTCATGCCTGTAATCCCAGCACTTAGGGAGGCCGAGGCAGTTAGATCACTTGAGGTGAGGAGTTCAAGACCAGCCTGGCCAACATGCTGAAACCCCATCACTAGTAAATACAAAAATTAGCCAGGTGTGGTGGCGTGTGCCTGTAGTCCCAGCTATTTGGGAGGCTGAGGCAGAAGAATCGCTTGAACCCAAAAGGCAGTTGCAGTGAGCCGAGATTGCATCACTGCACTCTAGCCTGGGTGAGAGAGCCAGACCCTGTCTAAAAGTAACCATAATCATAAAAGAGAAATTATGGTTTCAGCTTTGAACAAAGAAACAAAACCAAAAAGACTTCACTAATATGATCATATATGTATATCTATACATCTAAATTATTCAAATATGCACCTAAAATGACATCATCCTACAATATAAACTCTTAAGTATAGTACAAATATGACATACCAGATTGGTGTTCTACTAAAAAAAAGAAATTCAAGGGCATCACCTTAGTTTTCTAGTATATAAAACTAAGCTCAAAATTATTATAAAACTTAGCACCTCAAGGTCAGCGCAGTGGCTCACGCCTGTAATCCCAGCACTATGGGAGGCCGAGGTAGGTGGATCACTTGAGGTCAGGAGTTCGAAATCCCAAAACCTTAGCACCTCAAAATCTAAAGATATTAGCAAAAGGCATCAAGGAATTTTAGTTAAAAAAACACCTACTATATATGGCTCATAAAAGTCTCAGCATTTTGCTTCTCATTCTAATCGTACATAATTGACTTTTTAAGAGCATAATAAACTAAAACTATATATATATGATATTCATGAGTTCCTGGCCTTTGAAATTAAAAGACAAACATACATATTTTCACTACCAAACTTACAACCCTATTTCAATTAGTGAAGAAGCTCTATCAGTGCTAGCAAACATCAATTAAAATTGATAACAAGGCCAGGCGTGGTAGCTCACACCTGTAATCCCAGCACTTTGGGAAGCCAAGGCAGGCTGATTACCTGGAGTTTGAGGCCAGGTCTGGAGTTTGAGACCAGCCTGGCCAACCTGGTGAAACTCCCTCTCTACCAAAAATATAAAAATTAGCTGGGCGTGGTGGTGCAAACCTGTAATCCCAGCTACTCGGGAAGCTGAGGCACAAGAATCGCTTGAAGCTAGGAGGCAGAGGTTTCAGTGAACCAAGATCGTGCCACTGCATTCCAGCCTGGGCGACAGAGCAAGACACCATCTCAAAAATAAAAATAAAAAATAAAACCGGTAACAATAATGACAACATACACATTGTCAACTAATTTCTCTAGGGAAGGATGACAACATGTATACACCTACCTTAAGAGGATCAAAATGGATACTATGTGTATTACTAAACAAATGCATATTGTGGCATATATCCTAATTATAAATGTTCTAATTTCACATCTGCCCCAAAAACTCAATATAAAATTTAGCTTCCAAAGTTTTCATTTTAAACTGTCAAAAAAAAAAAAAAAATTAACCATAGGCCGGGCACGGTGGCGCACACCTGTGATTCCAGCACTTTCGGAGGCCAAGATGGGTGGATCACGAGATCAAGAGTTCCAGACCAGCCTGTCAACATGGTGAAACTTCATCTCTACTAAAAATACAAAAATTAGCTGGGCGTGGTGGCAGGTGCCTGTAATCCCAGCTACTTGGGAGGCTGAAGCAGAAGAATTGCTTGAGGCCGGGAGGCGGAGGTTGCAGAGTGGAGATTGCGCCATTGCACTCCAGCCTGGGCGAAAGAGCGAGACTCTGTCTCAAAACAAAAAAACAAAAAACAAAAAATCAAACACAAGAAAACACAGAACTAAAAAAAATCTGCAATCATAGAGATCTGATTGAAGAGTTTACTACCTATCACCAATCAAAGCACTGAGATAGATGTTCCAGAGATACTAAATATTATTAGCAAGCCAATTTGAACTAAAAAACCTGAAAAGTTGAATAGGAACATAATACAATTTAAAAAACAAAAAAACAAAACAAAACAAAACAAAAAAAACAAGACCCGGCACAGTGGCTCACACCTGTAATCCCAGCACTTTGGGAGGCCAAGGCAGGCTGAAGCGGGTGGATCATGAGGTCAGGAGTTCGAGACCAGCCTGGCCAATATGGTGAAACCCCATCTCTCCTAAAAAATACCAAAAAAAGTTAGCTGGGGGTGGTGGCATGCACCTGTAGCTACAGCTACTCAGGACGCTGAGGCAGGAGAATTGCTTGAACCCAGGAGGTGGAGGTTGCAGTGAGCCGAGATCATGCCACTGCACTCCAGCCTGGGCAACAGAGTGAGATTCCATCTCAAAAAAAACACAAAAAACAAAAAAACAACAACATACACACAACAGAATATGATGCCATATACAGCAGAAATAATTACCAAAGACTTTTAAATTAGAAAAAGAAATCACACTTTTGTTACAGAGGACAGATTATAGAAAAGTGATTGGTAGGCCAGGTGTGGTGGCTCATGCCTGTAATCCCAGCACTTTGGGAGGCCGAGGCAGGCAGATCGCTTGAAGCCAGGAGTTCAAGACAAGCCTGGCCAACATGGTGAAACCCAGTCTCCACTAAAAATACAAAAATTAACCAGGCTTGGTGGTGCACGTCTGTTGCCCAGCTACTTGGAAGGCTGAGGCATGAGAATTGCTTGAACCTAGGAGGCAGAGGTTGCAGTTAGCTGAGATGGAGCCACTGCCCTCCAGCCTCGGCAACAGTGAGACTCTGTCTCAAATAAAAAAAAAAAAAAAAAGAAATTTATAAAAGTCTAAAATAATTTAATAAACTCTAGTCATTTACCTTTAGCTTTCTAGTCTGAATGGCAAACATTATTTAGAAGCTTTCTTTGTATACTTCCTGCACTTACTAAATCATCCTCCTCTAAAAATCTAGGCTTGAACAAAGTTTGTCAGTTTTCAAACCTTGCATGAAAAAAATCATATCCTTGTCATATCTATAGAAGACCTAGGTTGTAGTACTAAAATTACAAATTTATTTATTCCTGTTTGATGTCACCCATAATTAAGGAAGCTTTTTAAAAAAGAAACAAATGTTATTTAAAGAATAAATTTCTTTCTCCAAACATTACACTAAATCCAATAAAATGTAGAGTCCAAAGGATGAAGTGACAAATTCACTTTAAGTCTTAAACAGCTAAAGAAAAACAATGAATTGATGTCATGACCATTTAGTTTCTTTGTGTTTGTGCAAAAATTGAAATTAAGTACACTGAAAAAATTCTATTTCACACTAATCAAGTATCTGGGCTTATATTTAGACAGTTCCTGGAGTTATTGCCTATAAGGAAGGTTTTTATTAAAAGTACTCCTATTGATGAGCTGTTCCTTTTGATTTTTTTTTTCTCAGTATCATTACTAGTCACAGGATTAAAGCTATTAGTTATATTCCTCCCTATAAATCACTGATTGTTGAGCATTAGAAAACTCTCAATAGCTTATGCGTGCATACTAGCACAGCCTAGTCAACATAAGATACGTGCATTAGAATTGATTTCATTTTCAAGGCTTGGCTACATCTTTGATCTGACATTTAATGATTTAGTTATGAAAAATCATTTTAAAAGATTTTATATTTATACTGATGTTTAATAAATGTTCTTGACTTATCTGAATATGCTGACACCAGTTAAAAAGATAAATAAAATAAAATCACATTAAAATTTGCAATGACATGCTGCTTCCAGTCCATAGAGCTCTCATTTTCATTTTTCAAGGATTTGGGATTTCATTACGACTATCTTGAAACTGATTTAATATCTTGTTTAAAATGAGAATTAAGTGAATTTGGTAGATTTTAAAATAAAACTTTCCTTGTAAATCAGTGTTCCACCATGTGATCAATCCTACTTAACAAAGCAGAATTAAGTGAGTGAGGGTGATCTGGTTGCAACACCTGTCACCCCATTGGTCAAAGGGTTGATTCAGCTGATCTGGATGGCCAGGAAGGTATCTCCTTCCTCCCTCACCACTCCATGTACATCTCTCCCGAAGCTGTGCACTTGGTCGAAGAGGACCTTCTCTGACAGAGGAGGACTGTTCATTGGTCAAGGGTATACGAGTTGCTGTGCTCCCCTACTAGACCCTCCAAACAAGCTCTCAAAGCAGAACTAAGTCTATATTTTCTAAAGTGCATAAACTGAAGTTTGGGAATGATGAAAGATAACCATTTAAGTAACATGGAATAATAAATAGCTTCAATATTACTCACAACACTCAAAGATTTTTCAGATATTAAATCTTAAAACATTTGCCCCACCTAAACAGCATAGTGGTATTGTAGTAAAGAGAGACCAACTCATAATACAGCATAACTATAAGAAGTCAATAATATTTAAAACTTTAGGTTGGGTGCGATGGCTTACGCCTGTAATCCCAGCACTTTGGGAGGCCAAGGCGGGCGAATCACGAGGTCAGGAGATCAAGATCATCCTGGGTAACACGGTGAAACCCCGACTCTACTAAAAAATACAAAAAATTAGCTGGGCGTGGTGGCGGGTGCCTCTAGTCCCAGCTACTCCGGAGGCTGAGACAGGCGAATGGTGTGAAGCTGGGAGGCGGAGCTTGCAGTGAGGCGGAGCTTGCAGTGAGCCGAGGCTTGCAGTAAGCCGAGTTTGGGCCACTGCACTCCCGCCTGGGCAACAAGGTGAGACTCCGTCTCAGGAAAAAAAGAAAAAAAAAAACTTTAGAGAAAGTAATTAAAGCTCTCTGACACAAACATTATAAAAGAATGACTTGCTTTAAAAAATTGCATATAGCCAAATTGCTATAAGAAAATCCAGGAAGACAGATACTAAATGAAAACTACATTAAGAAAAAATTACTAAAGACGAGGCACAATGGCTCACGCCTGTAATCCCAGCACTTTGGGAGGCCGAGGTGGGCAGATCACCTGAGGTCAGGAGTTTCAGACCAGCCTAGTCAACATGATGAAACATCATCTCTACTAAAAATACAAAAAATTGCCAGGCACGGGGGCTGACGCCTGTAATCCCAGCACTTTGGGAGGCCGAGGCGGGCGGATCATGAGGTCAGGAGATCGAGACTATCCTGGCTAACAGGGTGAAACCCCGTCTCTACTGAAAATACAAAAAATTAGCCAGGCATCGTGGCAGATGCCTGTAGTCCCGGCTACTCGGGAAGCTGAGGCAGGAGAATGTGGTAAACCCGGGAGGCGGAGCTTGCAGTGAGCCGAGATCACACCACTGCACTCTAGCATGGGCAACAAAGGGAGACTCCGTCTCAAAAAAAAAAAAAAAAAAAAAAAAAAATTGAATTCTGAGGCTGAGTTATTCTGATAGAATGTTAGGAAAACAGAGAATATATATTGCACAATTTTAAGAACACAAGTTAGTGATAAACATTCTTTCCTCCAAGCAACACATAATAATATTGTATCAGAAACTGATAATTCATATTAAAATTAAGGTACTTTATTGAAAACTCTGTATTATATTGTACTTTTCCTCTAACACTTGAAGCATTTATTATAATTAGATAATTCAAACTAACAGGTACAGTAAGAGTTTTATCCTACAAATAAAAGACAAAGTGCTCTAACTTATTAGACCACAAATGCTTTATTAGATGAAGTTACAAATGCTAATTACAACTGAAAATACTAAATGCAACTTAAGTTTTTCCAGTATTGTTCTATGCTTAGAAGTCAAATAAGGAAATACTGTATAATCAGAGCCCTACCTTTTTAAATTTTCTAGTATGACAAATTCCAAAGAAAGTAAAAATTCTGTTTATTCTCCAAAAATGTTTATCACTATATACTTTAGAAATGTAAAAGCAAAACACAGCAATCAGCACCATATAAATGCAAACTAAACAGAACTAAGAGTTAAATAGAATGTATTGCAATTCAGCAGACCGTACTACCACACTGAAAAAAGAGGAATGCTTTTAATAATGCTAAGAATTCCTGATGTCACAACATTCTGTGTGAGATATTTCTTTAAAAAGAGAACTGAATTTCACAAGAAATACCTCATTTAAAATAAAGCAAAATTTAGGGACAAGTGTCCTATATTCTGAATTTGCCTTTTGGTCAATAAAGATGGACCACTGCCAAGTCAGTATTCTTCAGGTAGTGATTACTTATCAACTATGTAATCATTAATAGAAAAGCACAAAGAAAACATAAGTGACCTAAGCTTGACACACTGCTAAACTATACAATAGGTCACTTGAGCATAGCTGAGAATCTGAATTTAAAGTACATTTTTCTATAGATGGAAGAAAATATTCTACAGTGAAGAAACCAAAGAAGCAAAAAAATAATCTGATTTATAGCTTCTGGGATGACTGGTTTCTTAACTCAAAATGATTATTCAATTCAGAACATAGTATCACCACATGGCAACCCTTGCAACATGAGAGTGATTTGATAGATCATGGAGAGTAAAGCGAAAGGTGCTCTCAATCTTTTATTTTATAAAACAAGATTATTTTATTATCTGATATATTTTGATATTAAGATTTGAAATTATTGAGACTATCCCTCCTTGAGTAAACTTTTTCAACATTACAAACCTACACGTCATATACATGTAATATGAAGTTTCGTCTTACACAGTATCTCTTTTAGGGAAAATACTAAGATTGTCAACATGCAATTAAATAATTAGCATGATATACAAACCATGGATTCTGGGTAAGTAACAAATATTTCTTCAAAATATAAATCAATATTACAGGAAAAAAAATGCTCCCACCAACAGAGGTACATTTAAGGGGACAGCTAACCTGATTCAGAACCACTGCTGTCTGAAGAGCTTAAGTCACTGCTGCTACTTTCAGACTCTGATGAGCTGCTGCTGCTGCTGCTCTCACTCAGACGGGAAACACTTCCAACAGCTTTGGATGGTTGCGTTTTCTCAGCTACAAAACAGAGAAACATTAAAATGCCAGAGGAATTAAACAGTTGCAGGAACATTTAAAAACTGCCACCTAGGCTGGGCATGCTCGCTCATGCCTGTAATCCCAGCACTTTGAGAGGCCAAAGTGGGAGAATCACATGAGGCCAGGAGTTCACGACCAGCCTGGGCAATGTCACAAGACCCTGTCTCTATAAAAATAAGTAAATAAATATAAAAACTGCCACCTACATTTTGTTTGACGTTTTCTAGAATTTAACTGATTATTAACATCCAGTAACCGCTTTTCCAACTCCTGTTTTTTCTGTGAGTGAAGTTCTTCTTTGGACATCATTATTTTCTTAGCTGTGTTAGGAGGGAAGAAAGTGAGTATAACCAAAAACCAACCCAAATACAAAACTGATTTCTATTAATATGCAGAAATACATACCAGGAGGTTTTAATGGTCTCTTTCTTAGACACGCAGAAACATATTTTTCTAATTCTCTTAGTGTTGATGCTTTCAGTGTTTCAAAGTCTATCTCTATCTCATCAGGATTGGAATTGCTCAGAGAAGGCTCTCTTGACTGTATTATATGAACTACTCGCCCAAGTTTATCTCCAGGGAGTTTGTTTATATTCAAACTTAACTGCCTTTTCTCATCATAGTTCATAGGTTTAGCATTATCTTCATCTTCAGATTTTTGACCAATGTACTGTTGTTTCCTTTTCTTTGGCTGACTGTAACAAAAACTAAATTTAGTCCAACTTATCGTTATTGTCTTAATAAGCTATCATAATAAAAGATACTTACTTTCTCTTGGACTTTTCCTTTAGTCTCATTTGCTCACACATTTTTCTTGGATTTTCATTGCTGTTATTAACCTTTTCTTTTTTCTTTTCCTTTTTAGACTTCTCTTTCTTTTTATTTAGCTTACGGAAAGGTACTTGGGACAAAACCTGGAGCTGCTGATGTACAGCTTTAAGCTGATAAAATAAAAAAAATCTGTAAACATTCATGTCTCTAAATAATTAAAGAAACTAGAAAAAAAATGAAGCCACTCCAAAGTCAAGAGTGTCTTTTGTGAAATTCATTTCTTATTACATTTCCTTCAAGTTTTTATTTAATTCCACAAATGCACTGAATTTTTAAAGGGCATGTTTTAAATTACAAAAACTATCATGTGCTCAACTCATAAACTTAAATATTCATCTACAAACAGATCAAGAATAAATAACATTTCCAGGTGGTCTTTTTTTTTTTTTGAGCCAGGGTCTTGCTCTGTCAGGTGGGAGTGCAGTGTTGTGATCCTGGCTCACTGCAACCTCAACCTCCTAGGCTCAAGTGATCCTCCTGCCACATTTTTTTGATTTTTTTGTAGAGACATGGTCTCACTATGTTGCCCAAGCTTGAACTCCTGGGCCTAAGCAATCCTCCCACCTTGGCCTCCCAAAGTATTGGGGTTACAGGCGTGAGCCACGGTGTCCGGCTGGTTTTTAATCACTGATTTTTGAGACTTGAGCTCCAGAACAGTTTAACATGTTATCATAAAAAGTAGTTAATGTTAAATAAGACCTCATCCATAAAATCTCTCTGATTATTTCATAAATCATTTCAATGAGAATCAACCACTCATGATTAGGGATGACATAATTTTTTTAAATAACAGATTTTTATAATAAATATTTGATTACGAAAGACTATTAAACATTACAAATTTGCCAATAAGTAAATAAAGCCACAGTTATGAAATGATTTAATTATAACAGCTTTAAATCTGCAGAAAAAATTTCCTGATAGATTAGTGCTCATAGACTATCAAAATTTGTATCAATACAATCAACTACCTGCTCCTGAAGCTTTGCAAGACGCTGAACTCGTTCATCTTCAGAATCACCAGAAGAGTTCCCTTCAGAGGAGACTTCATTAGTGTTCTCTCTACCAGTGGTTTCTGTGATATCTGTTTTGATGTAACATAAAGGCATACTCTCAACAGGTTCAACTGGGATCTTTGAAAAATGCGTTTCGAAAACATCCTATAATGAAAAGTTAGTTTGTTATGGTTTTCTGCATTTTTAATTTAATCCAGCAATTATAGCTTTTAATAAAAGGTACATTTCAGTGCCATATTTTGACCAGAATTCTTTTTGCCTTTAAGATATATCAGAAGAAACATATTAAGATTTATGCAGGCCAGGTGCCGTGGCTCATGCCTGTAATCCTAGCACTTTGGGAGGCCGAGGTGGGTGGATCACCTCAGATGGGGAAATCAAGATCAGCCTGACCAACATGGAGAAACCTCATCTCTACTAAAAATACAAAATTAGTCGGGTGTGGTGGCACATGCCTGTAAATCCCAGCTACTTGGGAGGCTGAGGCAAGAGAACCACTTGAACCTGGGACGCGGAGGTTGCAGTGAACCAAGATTGTGCTACTACACTCCAGCCTGGACAACGAGAATGAAACTCCATGTCAAAAAAAAAGACTCATGCTTCTCTGTCTGCCAAACTTAGCAACTTTTCTCCATTTTTTTCAGGCAAGATAGACCTCTCAAGTAATACACGGGATCTTCTTTCAAGGGCCCTATAGTTGGTAGATCATTCTATTACCTCCAAATGGTTCATTTAGACTGTCCCCTCAGTGGGACATGGGCTCTAGTCAACCATGTATATATCTACATCCCCTCTTCACTAATATTTCCCCAGTTTCCTTTGTATTCAGGGCAGCTTCATTAAAATATTCACTACTAAAGGATGCAAGAACTCAAACAGACAAACAAAGAAACACACAACCCTCTCAGTTTTAAAAGTATAATTCATAAACTATTTTGTTGGTGCAAAAGCAATTGTGGTTTTTGCCATTTAATACTTAAGAGATGTGGGTGTTATTATTCTTTATCTCTTAAGTTATGGTTCTAAAAGATGTTTAAACTATGTTCAGAGGAAAAACACTTTCAGAGCACAAGTAATGGCTCACCTGAAGCATTCTTGCCATTGTCACAACTTCGTGATCTGGAGGATTGTACTTGTAGCAATTCATGAACATTAATCTAACATCTGCCGCAAATTTGTATGCATCCTTATATTCTTGGTTATCCATTTTCTCCTAAATTAAAGAAAAACTACAGGATTCACAAACAAATAGTTCAATTCAATAATTATTTGAGCACCGATATTAAATGTTCATATTACAAAATAATTCATATATACAGAAAACAGTTGCCCACCATCCAGATTTGACAAATGTTAAAATTTTGCAACATTTGTTTCATATTTTTTAGACTTTGAAAAAAAATCCAGTGAATTTTGATAAGTAGAGATAAGGAAGGAGGACATTCCAGGTAAAGAGAACTGGAACAAAATCACAAAAGTAGAGTGTTTTCATATAATCTTTTTTTTTTTTGAGACAGAATTTCCCTCTGTCACCCAGCCTGGAGTGCAGTGCATGATCTCGGCTCACTGCAACCCTTCCTCCTCCTGCGTTCAAGTGTTTCTCGTGACTCAGCCTCTGGAGTAGCTGGGACCATAGGCAGGCACCACCATTCCCAGCTTTTTTTTTTTTTTTGTATTTTTATTAGAGACGAGGTTTTGCCATGGCCAGGCTGGTCTCGAACTCCTGGCCTCAAGTGATTTGCCTGCCTTGGCCTCCTAAAGTGCCAGGATTACAGGCATGAGCCACTGTGCGTGGTCTAGAACCATGGACATGTTCAAGTGGAAGAAAACAAAAAGATATATTTTTAAAATTTCCAGTGACTCACTCCAGGTAGTATGACTCTGATGATCTTAATTTCCTTCATCTTTTTCTAGATTTTAAGATTTCTTTGCAATGATGAATTACTTTTATAATCAAGAAAAAGAAGTTCTTCCTATTAAGGCAACATTTACCTTAATAGTTCCAAGATCCATTGGATTTTTGACAATGTCATAGTAGTTATGGAGTCCCAAAGCATTAACGTCAACAGGATTATAAAAGGGCCATGCATATGAAAAATGTTTCTTTGCAAGCATTTCTTTAAGAATCTCACTACAGTGCCTTAATTGTTCAGTTACTTTAACACTCTTCACAACATTATATTGTTGCTGAGAATCTGGCAAAACATTCTTTGGCATATTTTCTTTTATAGGTGGCAATGTCACTGATTTTTCTGTGAATGTTGGAGAAAATTCACTACTTGCTTTAACTACTGAAGTTGCAGGAGTTGTTGTATCTGCTTTCCTCTTCACACCCTTTGTAACCTAAAACAGAACAATTCAACAACAACAAAATATATTTAAAGTGATATTCAGAGCAATAGTTCCTTATCACTTAAAAGAAAAAAGGGAAAGATTATTGGCACCAAATCTTTATATAGATAATTTACAAATATTGTTGTCAATCCATGTATTAAATATTGCTAAAGGTTAATTTCCTTTTGTAGGCAAACTAAATAGTTCTAATATTATCTTCCCACATACCAAAGAATGTCTTGTGCAAACCTTAAGATGAATGAAAAGTAAAAAATCAAAGTCATAGTTATACCAAAGTTTCTGAATACTTGAAAATCAGCAAGAATATATGATTTTTAAAAGAAAACTATGTAGGTGAACAACTTCTGATATTAATACTATCAAGACACCCAAACAGTACAAATTCTACCTAAGAAATATCTAAAATTTGGCTAGCCTCTTAGGTTTCTATTCATAAAATGCATAGAGAGGTGGAAACAGTATGATTTCAGATTGCTAGATGCTAAATGAATTAAAAAAGAAAAATTGTTAGATGTTGAAGACTAATTTTCCTATTAACTGAAAAAAAAAATCCAAAATTAAAAAGCAATGATTTTAAAACTATAATAAACTTACTTGTGCCACAGTTTGTGAACTGGAGTTGACTGAAGCTCCTTGTGCCACGTTCAAGGGAGAAAGAGATGTCTTAGGAAATACAGAAGGAATTGCTTGCTGCTTAAATACTTTTTCTGTTGCGTTGGGCGATGATTTTTCTTTAGCAGAAAAAACAGCTATATTCTGTTGAGTGCCTGGAAAAGTATGAGCCAGAATCAAATATATGAATGAATAAAGTATACAACACCACTTTCTGTCTTATTTTCTATTTCAATTCATTTAGTTCAGCTTTTTAGCAATATAAGCATAGGATACTTATTTCATTTTGAAATCTACACACACAGGATTAGACAGATTAGACCAATTTAGATATAAAGATATAATAACGGAGACTTCAACATTTGTTATTAATGGTAGGTTTACCAGCTTTATTCAAAAAGGTGCCTGGCTTAAACCAAGACTAATAATAGAGCCATGTGGTTAGCTTCAGGTAGCTGTGAACATAAGCAAAAATTTCAGATACTCTGGAGACCAACCACACAGTACTATGTGAGGTCTTCAGAATGCTCTGCATAAACATCCAAGGATTTCATTAATTGTTACACATAGTCCATCACAGAACAAAAGATGTGAATATGATTCTCTTATCAATACATTCTTCAGAAAATTCTGCCAAAAGAACAATTGTCATGTTCTTCTGCCCTATCTGTTTTTACAGAATGTTATGACTTCAGACATTTGGATCATATCACTCTGAAATCTGTTATTTCAAGAGTTCAACCTTCCATCAAGGCAACTCTATTCTTCTAATTGTTCACAACAAAAACCCTGAAGTCATCTTTGATTCCACTATCTCTCAAACTCCATATCCAACCCAGCAGCAAACCCTGTTAGCATTATCTTCCTATCTAGACTCCAAACACTTCTCACAAGCGGCATTCACTCCGGCCCAAGGCATCATCAGTGCACAACTCAATTACTGCAGTAACATCCAGGCAGGTCTTCCTTCTGCTTTGGTACTCTATAGTCTATCCTCAAAACAGCTGTCAAAGTGATCTTTTAAAACTCAAATTAGTGACGACTTGTAATCTCGCTAAGTAAAAACCAAAGTGCTCATAGCATATATGCGACCTGCTTGTCCTCTTCTCTGTACTTCTTCCCTCCTTCCAACCTCACTTCTTATTACTTCCCTCTGTCCTTACCTCACTCTAGCCTATTGGCCTTGCTCAAATTTGGTAAGCAGAAGAAGACTATTTGTTTTGCCTAAAATAAGATATCCTTATGCCTCATTCCAACATTTCCTTCAGGCATTTACTCAAATGTCACCTTCTCAACCACCCTATATAAAATAACATTTTCACTCTACCCTATCCCCACTCATCAACTATATAGCTCTTATTCTGCTTTATTTTTTCCATGCCATTATTACATTTGATACACAACATATAGCTATTTCTGGCCCTTCAATTCTTGCAAAACAAACTCAGGAACTAAGTAAATCTGAATGTATTTTAAGACAGGGCTGATATTCCTCAATATCTGAGTTGTCACTACTCTTTAAAACTTACGAATCAAATACATTCAGATAATCTCACATCCTTTGATATTCCAACTGTTGTTACTCTTTGAACTTGGGAGCTAATTAGATCTGCATAGTGAGGAATAGTTACAATTACTTAATTTTGTCTCTGTCTCTCACAATAAAAAGCTCTGTGAGGGTAAGGGGACTTTGTTTTGGTCACCCCTAAATCTCTTGTACCTAATGCAGTACTTGGTACATGAGAGAAACACAGTAAATATTTACTGCATGCCTATTGTGTTGGGCACCATTTTAGGTGCTAGGGCACAAATTCTCACATATGTCTTTTCTTTTTTTTTTTTTGAGACAGGGTCTCGCTCTGTCACTCTGTTGCAGTGGTGTGATCATGACTCACTGCACCTTCAACCTCCTGGGCTCAAAAATGAACAAGACAGACATAGTATCTGCTCTTGGAGCTTACTGTCTAGTGTAAGAAACAGACAAAAAATAAGTAATCATATTGAGTACAAGTGATGCTAAGTGTTAGGAAGGAAATATACACGTTACTAACTAAACTAAGGCAGAGAACTATTATGGACAGGGTAGCCAAGGAAGGCCTCCCTCTCTAAAGCTGACAACTAAGATGTCACTATACAGATAAGAAGAAGACAGCTAGGTCAAGAGAACTATAGAATGGGAAGTAAGTACACATGATTAGTGTGTGCACGAAGAAATAAAAGCATTTTTAAAAAGAAACAGTAGTCTCCTAAGGCAAATACTGACAGAAGTCAAATAAAATGAGAATAGAAAAAAACACTACTTAAATTTTGCAGAATGAAGACTACAAGTGACCCTGACTGACAAAACGTCTTTGGTGGTGAAATAAAGCTAGAACTTGTGCTAAGGGGAGTACATGAGTATACAGGAAGAAAGAAAAAAAGGAACAATAGCTGGAAGAATATGAATAAAGGAGTATTTTAAAGATGAGATACTAGAGCCAGTTTATAGGGTAATGAAACTAACCCCATAGAGGAGGAGAGATTAATGATGCAAGAAAAAAGGGAGATAACAAAGGAATAAAATGGTTGAGATGGCAAGATCGATTCACAAATGAAGGCATGGCTCAAAGTGATGGAGGATCTGTTATAGGCCTTTGCTCTAGCCGATTCCTCCGCCTGGAATGTTCTTCTTGCAAATCTTCACTTCTCAACGAGGCCTCCACTGAATCTGTCATGTTTGTCTCTCACTTCCTACTAGAATATAAATTCCAAGATGGCAAAGTTTTTGTTTTATTCAGTGATAATATCTCAAGAGCACAGAACAGTGTTGTGGTACATAATCAGCACTCAAGTATTTGCTCAATCAATATTATCAATTTAATACCAAGTTTTCTTTGCCATAAATAATCAACATGTCATCATATGACAATTTCCCTACTACCGTGACTAACAAAGACATGACTCTGGTAGTGGAATGCTTCTGTCAGAAGTTTTTTAAACTTAGACATTCACTCTGAAGCCAAATCCTACCTATCCTTTGAGGTCAAACATAACTTATAGCACCTCTAAAGCCTTTCCCAACTTTTCCAGCGTGATATGGTTTGGATGTTTCGTCCTCTTCAAATCTCATGTAGAAATGTGACCACCAATGTTGGTGGTGGGGCCTGGTGTGGGAGGTGCTTGGGTTATGAGGGTGGATCCCTCATGATTCTCTTGGTGCTGTCCTCGATGTAATGAGGGAGTGCTCACTCTATGAGTTCACACAAGATCTGGTTGCTTAAAAGAGCACCTCCTCCCTAACCCCACCTTGCCATGTGATACAACAGCTCCCTCTTTGCCTCTGACCATGATTGAAAGCTTCCTGAGGCCCAGAAGCTAAGCAGATGCTGGTGCCATACTTATACAGCCTGCAAAACCATGAGCCAAATAAACCTCTTTTCTTTGTAAATTACCCAGCCTCACATATTTCGTTTCTTTCTTTTTTTTTTCTTTTTGAGACAGGGTCTCGCTCTGTCACTCTGTTGCAGTGGTGTGATCATGACTCACTGCACCTTCAAACTCCTGGGCTCAAGCAATCCTCCCACCTCAGGCTCTTGATGAGCTGGGACTACAGGTGCATGCCACCATACCTGGCAAAGTTTTAAATTTTTCTGTAAAGGGTCCTTCTGTCTTGCTCAGGCTGGTCTTGAATTCCTGGGCTCATGTAATCCTCCCATCTTGGCTTCCCAATGTGCTGGCATTACGGCCATGAGCCACAACGAACAGCCAGGTATTTCTTTATAGCAATATAAAATGTACTAGCACACATCACATATCAATTTCTCACTCTTGGCCATGCATGGTGGCTCATGCCTGTAATCCTAGCACTTTGGGAGGCCAAGGCATGAGGATCATTTGAAGCCAGGAGTTCAAGATCAGCCTGGGCAACAAAATGAGACCCCACCTCTATAAGAAACAAAAAAATTAGCTGGGTGTGGTGGCACATGTCTTTAATATTGGCTACTTGGGAGGCTAAAGTGGGAGGACTGTTTAAGCCCAGGAGCTCGAGGCTGCAGTGAACTGTGATCATGGAGTGCCACTGCACTCCAGCCAGGGTGACAGAATGAGACCTGTCTCGAAATAAAACAAAACTTCTCATTCTTTTGAAACACAGTATATATTACATGTAATTTCATCTGACACGTGTCATAATGCATTGTCTTAATTTTTTTCCATAATGCATTGCCTTGTAAGTTTTTTCAAGTTTTATTTCTAACAAAAAACTTAAATGTAGGCCTGGCGCAGTGGCTCATGCCTGTAATCACAGCACTTTGGGAGGCCAAGGTGGGTGGATCACCTGAGGTCAGGAGTTTGAGACCAGCCTGTCCAACATGGTGAAACCCTGTCTCTACTAAAAAATACAAAACAAAACAAAACAAAACAAAAACCTTAAAGAAACACTTGAAAGTTAAGTTGTAGCTATTTGTTTCAGATGCTCAGGTAACTGCTAAGAGCATGTTTCCCTCAGATAAAAGATCAATGAGAAGATCAATAATTTTTACCTTCTAACAACATTAAATGGAAAAAATAACAATTTTTATCTTGCTAAGGGTAATAATTTAAGTCAGCAACAATTAGCACGTTGGTTTTACAATTTAAATACCATACTGATCTATGTACTATCTACCTCATAAGGGCTTACTTAAATCTTCTTGTAGAAGCCTAGGTCTCACATTGTCAGACATTAGATCAACCTTTTCTAAAATAAGAATAACGACTTAAATAATCAGTGAATATCTCATAGATTTGGTTAAAGCACTGTAAGTTATGACCCACCTTAAGGATCTATTAGCAATAAAAAAGTATGTATTACTATCAATAAAAACCTGAAAAAAAAAATCAACCTCTGCCATGAACCTATTACAAGTCTCCTACATCTCAGGCACTTAACTATACACTTTATAAACATTTACAATCATGAAAGAAAAATATTTTTCGGGCCAGGTGCGGTGGCTCACGCCTGTAATCCCAGCACTGTGGGAGGCTGAGGCGGGCAGATCACGACGTCAGGAGATCGAGACCATCCTGGCTAACACGGTGAAATCCTATCTCTACTAAAAAAAAATACAAAAAATTAGCTGGGTGTGGTGGTGGGCGTCTGTAGTCCCAGCGACTCGGGAGGCTGAGGCAGGAGTGAGGCGGAGCTTGCAGTGAGCCGAGATTGTGCCACTGCACTCCAGCCTGGGTGACAGAGCGAAGACGCAGTCTCAAAAATAAAAAATAAATAAATATTTTCCTGATAATATAAATGAGGAAACTAACATGGAATGACTAAGAACTTAAAGATTACACTGCTTAAGTGACCCAAAGATAAACCAACATTTACTACATTCTTGGTTAACCTCTACAATAAATCTATTTGGATACTTAAGATTTTTGAAACACCATATTTAAACAATATGATTATTAGTTGTAAAGATGATTTCCTCCAAAGATTTTTGTGACTGAAGAAAAAGTTAGGAAAAAAAGACAATCTCCCAACCCAATACTAACATTTCATTCTCAGCTATGGAAATATTTTTTAATGCAGAGAGCACTAGCAATTTGGGCATTCTTATCAGTACAGCACAGCTACAAGATCCACTGAAAACAGTAGTAACAGCTATGATTTTCTGAATCCCTACTATGTGAATGGCATTATGCTACAGGAAAGCTGGCTCCAAGGCCAAAATCAATGCAGTCTTCACTATTTTTGAATGATACCCATCCTTGTGATCAAGGTTTGGCAGATTATTTCAAATGGACATTTTTCATCAATAGAATAGGATGTAGGACGTCTGGATGTCTGTCTCCTTTGAGGGATTTACACACACACACACACACACATACACGAGACAGAGAGGGGAAAAAAACAGAGAGAACCATGAAGTGTTTACCTCCTGCCTTACCTTTCTTGATTCTTTCCTTACCACCCACAACTTGCTCTTCTTGTGGCATCTGAGATAACTTCTGCATAAACAGCTTCTCGAGAGCTTGTGCCATAAGAACAATGTCATCTCCAGGCTACAAAACATATTAAACATACCATAAGGATATACAGTATGGTCACTGTACCAAATGTTTTAAATTCAGGCCACTTTATTGAAGACAGTAACATAGTACTCCTAGACAGTATTCATCTCTTATAAATTTAGGAAATAGTGAAGTTGCTCACATTTTATTTTCTTATTCTCTATGGTTGAAAGCAGCTCACATTTAAAATTCTAGCATTCTACTCCTTCAACTTCTAAAAAGTACCCAAATGGCTTTCCGAACACTAGAGAATTACAATCCAACCAATCCTACTAAATCAAAGAGGTATTAAAAATGAGAATTTCACCAGGCATGGTGGCTCACGCCTATAATCCCAGCACTTTTGGAGGCTGAGGGGGGTGGATTACTTGAGGTCAGGAGTTCGAGACCAGCCTGACCAACATAGAGAAACCCTGTCTCTACTAAAAATACAAGATTAGGCCGGGCGCGGTGGCTCACGCCTGTAATCCCAGCAGTTTTTGGCAGACTGAAGCGGGCGGATCACCTGAGATCGGGAGTTTGAGACCAGCCTGACCAACATGGAGAAACACCGTCTCTACTAAAAATACAAAATTAACCAGGTGTGGTGGTGCATGCCTGTAATCCTAGCTACTCGGGAGGCTGAGGCAGGAGAATTGCTTAAACCCAGGAGGCGGAGGTTGCGATGAGCTGAGATAGTGCCATTGTGCTCCAGCCTGAGCAACAAGATCAAAACTGTCTTTTTAAAAAAAAAAAAAATTAGCCGGGTGTGGTTGCACATGTTTGTAATCCCAGCTACTAGGGAGGCTGAGGCAGGAGAATCACTTGAACTGGGAGGTGGAGGTTGTGGTGAGCCGAGATTGCACCATTGCACTCCAGCCTGGGCAACAAGAGCGAAAACTCTTGTCTCAAAAAAAAAAAAAAACATATTCAATTTTTCAATCTTAATTATTTGCTTACAAGTCTTCCTCTTGCTTCAATTCATGACTGAGAAAAAAGTAAGTAATTTAGGAAGCAACAGTTCTCTTAAAGAGAACATTTATTTCTAAGTTAGGTAGCTCAGGAAAATTACTAAACTTCATTTAAAAATATTACATCTGAAAGCACCCTTTGGAATTGTAGTTAAATTAAAATGAAGTTGCCAATGGTACCGATTTTTAAAAAATCCACATTGGAGCTGGATGCAGTGGTGGGTGCCTATAATCCCAGCTACTTAGGAGGCTGAGGTGGGAGTATCACTTGAGCCCAGGAGATCAAGTCCAGCCTAGGCAACACAGTGAGTCCCTGTCTCAGAAAAAAAAAAATCATTTGCATTGGCTGATAGTTTTAAATTTGTGCTGATAGTTTTAAATTTGGCTGATAGTTTTAAATTTGGCTGATAGTTTTAAATGAGTGCAGTGGTGTGATCTCAGCTCACTGCAACCTCCGCCTCCCGGGCTGAAACGATTCTCCTGCCTCAGCCTCCAGAGTAGCTGGGACTACAGGCATGTGCCACCATGCCCAGCTAATTTTTGTATTTTTAGTAGAGGCGGGGTTTCACCATGTTGGCCAAGATGTTCTCGATCTCTTCACCTCATGATCCTCCCACCTCCGCCTCCCAAAGTGCTGGGATTACAGTTGTGAGCCACTGTGCCCAGCGAGAACATATCTGATCTTTAAATCAACTTGTTGTGAAGTTTAGAAGTAGGCAATTGGTTTGGCTTTTTAGTTTATGGCCAGGGGTCCATACTGTGAAAATTTAATGAAGATTAATATATACTAAGACTTTTCCTTTATCTCACAACTAAAATGACAGGAATGCAACAGAAAACATTCTGAAATACTTTATTCACAGAAACCAGCTCTCATTGGTATTTTTTAAAAACATAACAAGCCACTACAGCTATTCAGGCACAAAAATATAGCAAATAGACTGAACAAGTATTGGTATGTGAAAATTGTGAAATTCAGTGAAAAAGTATTGTCCTTAAAAATATGTAACAGATCTTGGCCAGGCACAGTGGCTCACACCTATAATCCCAGAACTTTGGGAGGCCGAGGTGGGTGGATCACCTGAAGTCAGGAGTTCGAGACCAGCCAGGCCAACATGGTGAAACCTGTCTCTACTAAAAAAAAAAATGTATAAAAAATTAGCCTGGCAGGGTGGCAAGTGCCTGTATTCCCCGCTACTCGGGAGGCTGAGGCAGGAGAATCACTTGAACCTGGGGGCGGAGGTTGTAGTGAGCCGAGATCACACCACCACACTCCAGCCTGGGCGACAGAGCCAGACTCCATTTCAAAAAAAAAAAATTATATATATACACACACACATATACGTAAAATATTTCAAATGAAGAGACTTGAAATCTGAAATGATCACGATTTTATACATCTCTCTCCTATATGTAACGGCAAAGAATTAGCAAGTATAACATAAAGCTTACATACCTTGTTATATAAATAACAATTTGAGAACATTGTATTGAAGTCTTCTATACATTCTGAAGCCTTCACATAATATTTATTCTCCAAGCGCTTCTTAATTGTATTTAAATCCATTGGGTTTTTTATGATGGTATAATAATCCTATGGTTTTGAACAAATTCTAAATGTTAGTAAGAATGAATACACTACAACCATTGATATACAAAGAAATTTAATACACTATACACCTGTAACTAGAGAGAGAAACTGATTATCTTTAAAAAGTCATATTCTGGCTGGGCACAGTGGTTCATGCCTGTAGTCCCAGCACTTTGGGAGGCTGAGGCAGGAGGATCACTTGAGGCCAGGAGTTCAAGATCAGCCTGGCCAACATGGTGAAACCCATCTCTAATAAAAATACAGAAAATTGGCCGGGTGTGGTAGCTCACACCTTTAATCACAGCACTTTGGGAGGCCGAGGTGGGTGGATCACCTGAGGTCAGGAGTTCGAGACCAGCCTGCCCAACATGGGGAAGCCCTGTCTCTACTAAAAATACAAAAATAAGCCTGGCGTGATGACGCGTGCCTGTAATCCCAGCTACTCGGGAGTCTGAGGCAGGAGAATCACTCAAACCTGGGAGGCAGAAGTTGCAGTGAGCCAAGATTGTGCCATTGCACTCCAGCCTGGGGGACAGAGCGAGACTCTGTCTCAAAAAGCAAAACAAAACAACAACAAACAAACAAAGAAACCCAGAAAATTAGCCAGGTGTGCTGGCACACGCCTATCTTCCCAGCTACTTGGGAGTGTGAGGCCCAAGAATCACTTGAACCCAGGAGGCAGAGGTTGCAGTGAGCTGAGATCCTGCCACTGCACTCTAGTCTGGGTGACAGAGCGAGACTCTGTCTCAAAAAAGAAAAAAAGGCCATATTCTAGAAACTAAAACCTTTAGTAATGAGAAACAAAGCTGACTGCTATGGTATTTTTAGATGTTTTAAAAAAAAAGCCAATAAAGATGAATAAAGATAAGAATTTCAGAATAATATTATCCTTGAAAATAAAAAGGGCAGGAGGAGTAAGAACCTTGTTTTTATGGAGTCTGACTCCATAGAATAAAATCCCAGCTTCAAGTTGACTAGCTATATTGTAAACTACTCAACCATTGCATTACTGAATGGCTAAAAATTCCTAACGTAAGACCTAAAGTCAAATTCTGTATGTGATGCGACCAAGCCTGCCAGGAAGTGTCAAGAGAAACTTCACGGAAAAGGTAAAATTCAGGATAACTCTGCATCCAAAAGGTGAAGTGACATATACTATAATAAAACATGTATTACAATTTATCACAACTTATTAAAATAAGAATGTGAATGCTCAGAAAAATACTTTGTTTTTTTGGAAAACAATTACTCATTGGGATAGACTTTAGTGATGCTAAATAAATCAGGTATTTATTAAATATTTTTGTATTTTTAATTTTTGGAGATGGAGTTTTACTTTTGTTGCCCAGGCAATGGTGCAATCTCAGCTTACTGCAACCTCCACCTCCACCTTCAAGAGATTCTCCTGCCTCAGCCTCCTGGGTAGGTGGGATTACAGGCATGTGCCACCACACCTGGCTAATTTTACATTTTTAGTAGAAACAGGGTTTCTCCATGTTGGTCAGGCTGGTCTCGAACTCCTGACCTCAGGTGATCTGCCCACTTCAGCCTCCCAAAGTGCTGGGATTACAGGCAGGAGCCAACGTGCTCAACAAATATGATTTATTAAAGACTAGCTATGTCTTACAGAAATTTACAGGATTTTTTTTTTTTAAACATAGTTGAAGACATACATACAGGCAACTTTAGTTTCACAGCATCCACAGGACGTTGAAAAGGCCATGAAAAACTATGCTTCCATAAATCCTTTAGGACAACTTTTTGTAGATACTGAAGTTGATTTGTCAATCGCCCATTTTTCTTGGTATTTATATACTCTGGTGGAGGAGGGTTAACAATAATAGCTGTTTGTCGACTTGGCAGAGACATTCTTAACTGCTTCGAATCCTGCTTACACGTACATATCCTGAAAAACAAAAATGAGTACTTCAGAAGCCCTTTAGGAATGGTTTCCACAGGAGCTGAAAAGTGTTATTCAACAGTAACAGAGGCCAGGCACAGGGGCACAGGCCTGTAATCCCAACCCTTTGGGAGGTCAAGGCGGGTGGATCACCTGAGGTCAGGAGTTCGAGACCAGCCTGGCCAATGTAGTGAAACCCTGTCTCTACTAAAAATACAAAAATTAGCCAGGCGTGGTGGCACATGCCTGTAATCCAAGCTACTTGGGAGGCTGAGGCAGGAGAATCGCTTAAACCCAGGAGGCAGAGATTACAGTGAGCCAAGATCATGCCATTGCACTACAGCCTGGGCAACGAGAGTGAAAGTCTGTCTCAAAAAAGAGTAACAGATACTGTATTTTAAAGCACATCATGATTAAGACAGGATCAAAAAAAAAAAAAGCCAAAAGCAGCAATTTTTAAACAAACTTTTTCTATACAAGTAGTAAAAGTTTTACTATATATGCCTTAGTCTTGGATGTTTTAAACTATTTCAACATCTCAGTCTTTCTGCCTTTCAAAAACACACAAATTGAGGTCTTAGCAGGAAAAGTCTATAAATTCCTAGTCGGAAGAAATAACAGAACGTTAAAGACATGATCAGTGTGTAAGTATTCTACAACTGTTAATTCAACAAAGAGAAAAGCAAAGTAAAAAATTTTTCTGGCTAATTTGAAAAAAGTGATTTATTTATTTATGGTCTCTCTCTCTCTCTGGGATGGAGTCTCACTCTGTCACCCAGGCCTGACCTCAGGTGATCCACACACTTTGGCCTCCCAAGGTGCCGAGATTACAACCTTGAGCCACCGTGCCCAGCCAAAGTGATTTTATTTTTATTTTTCTATTTTTATTTATTTTTTTGAGATGGAGTCTCATTCTAACGCCCAGGCTGGAGTGCAGTGGCACAATCTCCACTCACTGCAACTTCCGCCTCCTGGCTTCAAGTGATTCTCCTGCCTCAGCTTCCTGAGTAGCTATGATTACAGGCGCCTGCCACCACGCCCAGCTAACTTTTATATTTTTAATAGAGGCAGGGTTTCACTACATTGGCCAGGCTGGTCTGGAACTCCTGACCTCAGGTGATCCGCCCTCCTCGGCCTCCCAAAGTGCTGGGATTACAGGCGTGAGCCACCGTACCCGACCCAAAGTGATTTATTTTAAAACCAAATTTATTAGAGTAAAATGTTACTCTGTGGCATATATTGCTACATCTAGAATAAAATATTTTAAATTTCATAGGTGTTTCAGAAAGACAGTATTTAATATTCCTAGACGGCATCATTACTTTAAGGATAAAAATGGTACTACCAATGTACACATAATACCTCAAGTACATGAGCAAAATGAAAAGTAGTTATGAAATAATTTTGCCCACTTTTAGAGATCAGTGTTAACAGCCAATAATATATCTTTGTCTGCATTGAAGTAGTATTAGTTCTCACCTCCTGTTGCATATTAATCACTTGTAGATATTTTTGAATTGCAGCATAATACATACCAAAATTTACCATATTAACTCTAAGTGTACAGTTCAGTAGTGTTCAGTATATTCATGTTTTTTGTGAAACCAATCTCTAGAACTTTTTCATCTGGCAAAATAGAAACTCTATGTGCATTAACCAACAAATCTTCATTCTTCTGTCCCCCCCTGTACCTAGCAACCACCATTCTGCTTTCTGGTGCCATTAATTTGACTACTCTAAATACTTCATTAAAGTGACAAATCATATTATCTTTTTTGTGACTGGCTTATTTTTCCTAATATAAAGCCCTCAAGATTCATCCATGTTGTAGTGTGTGTTAGAATTTCCCTTCCTTTTAAGGGTAAATAATATTCCATTGTATGTGTATCATTTTCTTTATCCATTCATTCATTGATGCCACTTGGGTTGCTTCCGCTTGTTGACTCTATTGTGAATACTGCTGCTATGAACATGGGTTTACAAGTATCTCAGGACCCTGCTTTCAATTCTTTTGGATATACATACACAAGTAGAATTGCTAGATCATATGGCAATTATATTTCTAATTTTTTGAGGAAGCCTATCCCATTTTCCATGGCCAATACATGATTTCACATTCCCACTAACAATGTACAAGAGTTCAATTTCTCCACATCCTTGCCAATAGAAATTTTTTGGTTTAATACTAGCCATCCTAATAGTTATGAGGAGCTGTGGATCTTTAAAAATACCAATGCTCAGGTCCCAATCTCTGGAGAGAGTGCCGGGGAATCAGTTTTGTTGGTTTTTTTAACTGTTACTTCTGATGTGCAGCCAAGATTGAGTACTACTACATTAAAATGAATTAAAGGTGGTTATCAATCTTCTACTTTCACGATTTTCATGTTACACATACATGGAAATATAACACTTAATAAAAGTCATAGGCTGGGTGCTGTGGCTCATGCCTGTAATCCCAGAACTTTGGTAGGCTGAGGAGGGCAGATGGCCTGAGGGCAGGAGTTTAAGACCAGACTGGACAAGATTAAACCTCCCATCTCTGCAAAAAATACAAAAATCAGTAGGGCGTGGTGGTGCACATCTGTAGTCCCAGCTACTCGGGAGGCTGAGGAGGATCACTTGAGCCCGGGAGGTAGAGGTGGCAATGAGCCCAGATTGTGCCACTGCACTCCAGCCTGGGTGACACAGCAAGACCCTGTCTCAAAAAAGAGCTCAGGAGTTCAAGACCAGCCTGGGCAACACAGTGAGACCTCACCTGTAAAATTAAAAAAGAAAGAAAAGAAAAAGAAAAATCATTAAGAACATCATTAAGAACAAAGATGGAGCTATTCTAGGATGTCACAACTAAACTGGCTCTTACCCTGGCTTTGTAATTATTTAAAGCTAACCTACTTTTTAGGTGTCCCAGTCACCACACCCTCGCTCATCCACAAAGGTTAAACACTCCACTGACTTTTATCACTATAGACCAAACTGTGACCATTTTTGAACTTTACATATAGTATTATTTACTATGTATTATGTTTTTGTTTTTGAGATGGCGTCTCACTCTGTCGCCCAGGCTGGAATGCAGTGGTGCAATCTGGGCTAAAAAATATATATATGTGTGTGTATATATTATATACACATATATATACACATACACAATATACTTTCTGCAGTCTCATGGTTTCATTTTCTACTTTTTTTTGAGTCAGGGTCTGACTGTCACCCAGGCTGGAGTACAATGGTATGATCTTGGCTCACTGCAGCCTCAAACTCCTGGGCTCAAACGACTCTCCCACCTCAGCCTCCTGATTCTCTGGGACTACAGGTACATGCTGCCATATCCAGCTCATTTTTTTTTTTTTTTT